AAAAAAAAGATGTCTCTGCCAAAGTTAACAAATGATTTTACATAGCCTTGCCAAAATGTTTAAAATAGCGTTAATATCAATATATATATATATATATATATATTAGCTCATGATGTTTACCATTGGTTTATCTTCTATTATAAATTGTTTCTGTGTGGTTTACTGTTTTTAGTGTATGTGCTGGATTATTGCGTATATTTTCATGATAAGACCAAATATGGAACCATTAAACACCGAAAGAAAGAGTCGCGTCGGTGGAAATCGAGCCCTTAACGTTGGGTATGCGCTTCAATGCTCTTAACCACTGAACTACGACGACAACTCTTAAGCATGATATGACGACTTTGTGTATTCAACTTGTTAATGTATTCGACTAATTTTACTCTTCAATAAACCCCTTTATTATTACCTTATAGTTTAACATGAGTGAATACTCGTTTATTTTGACATAGCCTTATGACCCAAAGAAATTAAGTCTCTAACTTTTGGGCCCTAGCAGTTTTATTGAGTCTCCAACACTCTAAACGTAAAGAGACTAAAATATAAAAGCGAAAAGCATGACTGAAATTTATTTTTTAATTATATGTTGCATAATTAAATTAAAATTAAAAAAATTCGAGAAGCTAATCGGGCAACAGTTAGACTATTTCGCCAGAAATAATTATAAATTAAAGTTAGTGCCTTAAAAAAAATTAATTTGCTGTTCCATTTCGTATACATTTCAACTCTGAGTAAGCTCATAGGATTATTTTTTTGGCTAGATTATTTATATTATATAAAGCTCATTGCAAACCACCGCAAGGTTAACAGTAATGTTAAGCTGCTTCTACCTTATTTTATTCCCTATTATTATTTTGTGCTGCGAAGCCGAACATAGAATGAATTTATACTCTTCCCTAATAAGTTGGTAATTCTAACTGTTTTTTAACACAGTGACCAGTGTTTTGTTAATTTTTCTTTCTTGCTGATCTCACGTTTTTTCTATTGGAACGTATATAAAGGGTTATGGGAACTAATATTTACTTGTAGGCGCCTAGTAAAATTTCCATTATCTCATCTATTGATTATACCTACACTATAGCTAGCTACATATGCGTTGAGCTTGGTAGATGGTAAGCTGACTTATTGTATACACGTTTATTTTAACGCTAACATCTTGCTCTAAATTAATAATCATTTAATAATAAAAAATATTATTAGGTGATAGTTAAACCTTGAAGGAGTCCCCTTTAAAACTATTAGTGAAATATACTTATTCCATTAATGGTCTTGGAAGCTCTTATCTTAGTAATTTACGCCATTTAAATATTTTAAACTCAAAGCACGAAACCTCAATTTCTTTTATGTCCTATATATTTTATTTAAATCTTTAAGATGAAAAAGTTATGTAGTGAAATATAACTTTTAATAATACTTCTATAACTCATGAAATTTTTTAAGTTTACACATAAAAACCCAAAAGCACAAAAGCCCTAAGTGCACTATTGTACGCAGTTGGGATAAATTATTAATAATAGAACTATTACTAATTAATTATAGCCCATTTCTATTTAAAAATGATATTTGGCTAATTTTCGCATTTATTAATTACTATAAAATTTTTTATGCTTTGCGAGAAACTTTAGCGATTTAAACTATTAGCTATAGTGATTTAGTCATTCTTTTCTACAAGTACGCTTTCATTTTTTTTGAAATAAACTTTTTAATAGATAACTTAAAAAAGTAGGTTTTTAAAGATATTTTCGGATGTCTATTATCGAGAATAACTAAATATAAGCCTCATGCAAATAATTTACTTTTGCAGCAATAATCTCTAACGCACCACTAATAAGATATTTTAAAAGGGTTATGACGACTTTGTACTATTAAGGAACTACATAGTTTTATGTTATCGCCCTTAATTAAGCTCTTAAAAATAAATTAAAATGTTAAAAAATGTTTTCCTTGTATTTTTTGACATTAGATAGTTTTTAAAAGCAGTTTTGTAATTTTCGAACGCTTAAATAGAGGAGTAGCTTTATCCCTAAACAAATTTTTAATAACTTATGACAAATTTCCAATTTCAAAAAGGTTATATGTAAAACTATAATATTTGAATTTTATTGCTTTGGGGGTAACATTATGACAAAATGTATATATGTAAATAAAACAATGCCGTTATTCACACGTAAAAGGATTTTGTTTTGGTTTACTAGCGCTTCAAGCTTACTAATATGACAATTTCTAAAAAAAGTTCAACTACTAAATTTTATTAGAATCTTCAGTTTTTCGGTTTTAACTAAAAAACGTTAGAAAATTTAAAAGAATCTCACTTACTTGTAAAATAAGTTTTAAATTAGTTTAACAAAAATTTGTAATACCTATATGCATTGTTAAATTGCTTATCGAGTGTATTGTACATCTGACGTTATAAATGCGGGAGATACCGAGTGACATATAAAGTTTATTCATAATTAATGATAACGCTGGAAAAACAAATAACCAAGTTCACTCTGTTTGCTAAATATATAAATCCTGTTACGTTTTTAGAAATCATAAAGAAGCGCTACTAGGTTTTTATCTATATTATGAATAAATTACAAGAACTATTAAAAGTACTAGTTATTTTCTTTAGCTTAAAAGTAATTGTAAAAAAAATATTTAATAGATTTGTAAATATACTACTACTTGATTTATAAAACCTTCTAGTATATAAATACTTACCAAAGAAAAACAATCTCTTTAATATTGTAGTCTCGTAAACCAAGTAAGTATTTTTTTATGCAACTTCCTTTTCAAAGACATAAATTTTGTGGCGAGTAAAGGTTTTTATTTTGAAAAAGGTGGGGTTTTTCTTAGGCATTTGATAACGTTCACTTTCGTATATATAGTTTGGGGTTATTAAATAAAAATTTAATCAAGCAGCAGTGTTTTCGCCTTAAGTTTTTTTATTAAAAAAAGTTGACTTTACTACCATCGGTTTAATAAGTTCGTTTAGCCAGAGAAGGCGAAAAAATAAAGAAAAAAAAATTAAATACTTATAAATACTTATTAAATTTATATTTATTGTTAAAAATTTTTTTGTAAATAATTGCTTTGAATTCCATTACTTTAAGACTTTAACGCTCTCTTATAAGTGTACTTGTTTTTATTAATAACAACCGCAAGAAAAAGTGATTTTGTTATTTGCTTTAAATTAATTAAGATGAAGTGTTGAAGATATTTAAATCTTGTTTAGTTTTTATTTACTTTATAATTTTTATTTAAGAAATTAAGAAATTTTTGATAAAACTTGTATACAATTAAAATACAAACCTAAAGAATTTTTTAATTACTAATTAATAGCGATTAAGCTTGTTATAATTTTGCTAAGCGTGTATTAAACTGGTTATTGAATGGATTACTATAGCGAGCTCAATTTTATTTAAAAAATGTAAATTACGTTCCAGTAATTAAATGAGGCTAGTAAATTTAAGATATTATTCTAATTTTTTGTTATTTCTATTATCTTCTTTCTATATTTTTTATTTATTTTAACTTATGTTTATTATGATCTTAAGTAGTTAATTTACATCAAAATCCTCACGAGCTTTTTCTAGGGCGAAAATGTCTATATCGCTCCTAAAAATTTCGTTTTTATTGTGTGTTTTCAAGTTCTTAGAGGTTTTTATTTGTATTGTATCCGCGACAAATTCATCTATCAAAGGTAACAAGATATTTTAATTTCTTTTAAATTATCCGAAACTTTTTATACCAGAAGACATATTAAGTGAACAGATTGAGGTTTTTCAAAGTTTTTATCGAAAATTCCATGAACCCGCGCAAAGGCTGCGTCGATATCGTCGGTCTTATGGAGACCAATGCATAAGCTTCAAAATTCCTTTTCGAAAGAAGTTAACTTAAATTTTAACAAAAATTTAAGTTTAAATAATATTTTTTTTATGTAAGTTTCAATGTACTAAAGATAAGACCCACAAAAATGGCCCAGGATTATGTTTATCTTACCGACGCAAGTAACTCGTATAGCACGTATAGACACAATTTACTAGCATTTACAGGCTGTCTTGAAGGTTATTAATAATATCTCGTAAACCCTTAATAATTTGACATTCTTTTTAAAATTAAAAATTTTTTTAGACGTAGAAAACTCTTATGTATATGGACATTTCGTTGAAGGCTCTATTGAGGTTATTAAATAACAAAAGTGTATTTTCCGCTCATTTAATAGTGCAGAAGTCTTTATGTTTTTAATATACGATATATTGTTTTTAGGCTGTTATATACACTGAAACCGAAATATATTTTATTGAAACAATGCGAAAATATTACAAAAATGCTGGACCTTACCACCACGTGATGTATAGAAGAAGCGATATAAATGAAGACAGCTTTAAGGTAAATTTATGTTAATTTTAATTAAATAATAAAAGTTTATAGTATGCGTCTTGTTTCTGATATTTTACACTATAGTAATTATAAAAAAAATTATATTCATGCCAAATTAAAACCTTTAGAAAAAAAATTTTAAATTATTAAAAACGCTATTTAAGGTTTGTATAACTAATATCATTTATTGCAAGCTAGTTTTTTTTTAAGAAATTAATAGCGTTCTATAATTGCCTACACATTTTTCAGCTATTAGATCAAGTAAAACCAAGTTTTGGACGATGGACGGTAACTGATGAAGGGGTGCCCCTCTCGATTCAAAATGTTTGCGATGTATACTTAGTTGCAGATCACACTTTCTTTGAGGCAAATAATAGAAATATAGACGGTAACTCTACTATAATATTATAAAGCAAGTATCACACTTTTTTATAATCATTATAGGGACTATAGCTGAGATGGATAGGATAATACAGGGAGTGAACCACATTATTAAGACAAGTAACCTTTACAATGACCCTAATAGAAGATTAAAAATTAGACCTTCCGGTAAACAGCTTCAATATAAGTTTTATAGAACTTAAATTGGAGCATCTTCAGGCTTTGAAATATGGACAACCCCAGGGTCTCTTAACCCTGTTAGCTATAGGAGGCGCTTTCCAGGAGAGGTAAAACAACTATGCGCAAGTACAAAGCTGAAAAAGAGTAAATAATAATATCCGATTTTCCAGGTTTTAGATGACTTTGCAAAATTAAATTTTAACCATCATTGCCTGGCTTACTTGTTTACCCATCGCGATCTTTCAGGCAAACTAGGAGCTGCTTACCGTGCTGAAAGGCAACGAGGTTTACTAAATCTAACTAAATAAATTTTCTAGTTTATATAAGTATATATATTAAGAAATGGGAATTTGTGCTAGACATAGTCACTTTAATATTGGAAGAAGAAGCTTAAACACCGGTATTTTAACTTCTTTATTACGTGGTAGAAGAGTTTCTTTTGCAATTCAACTTAATACGGCTGCACATGAGGTGGGTCACAGCTTGGGAGCAGCGGTACGATATTATTAATTTTTTATGAGATAAAGTAAAAAACGAAATTTTAACTTGTTTACTTCTGAACTTAGCATGACACCGGACGGTGTAGAGAAAATGGTAACCTGTTTTTAATGAATCCAATTATCTTAGAAAGCCAAGTCAAGCGATTTTCAAGATGTAGTAAAGCTGACATATATGAAGTTTTAAGAAGAGCCACTTGTTTAAAAAGTTATAATAAAGATGCAATATTTAAAATAAAAAATTAAAGTTTTTTTTTCAAAAAACAGGGGAAGCCATACCAGAGGAGTGCAACTGCGATATCTTTAAGTAAAACGCTTATGGAATATAACTATTATAGAAAAACTATGATAAACTTTTTTCTTAGCTCTGAAGGTGAACCTTTACTACCTCTTTATCCACGAGAGCCAAGTGAAGCCTTCGATCGATCTTCTACTCCTTTGCCATATAATATTACATTACCAGAGTGTGTAGGAAACGAAACAAGGTGAAAATTTAGGAGTTTTTTTTTTGCACCTTAAAAGTTTTAACGTATGTTATTTACGACCTTAAAGCTGCGAAGATCCTTACTGCTTACTACAGACTGCTAATAATTTTACTATATCTCAGGAAAGTGGCATTGCAAGATAGTTTTTTAGAAGATATTAATAGTGTAAGTGGATGTATACTTTAAAGAAAAAATAAAAGAATAAAGTTTTTTATTCATCACTTTTAATCCATTTTTGGCTTAATCTTACTTAATAAGGTAAGCAGAATCTTACTAATTTATTAACTTATAGGCTGCTCGAAAATTTCCTTAACAGTCTAGTTATTTAAACTCTATATAGAAACAACAATTATCATTATTGGATTAGTTTGAAACATAATAAAGAGTAGCAAGGCATTAACCGTTGAAGAGTGCTTAATGATGTTCATAGCCAACTAACTTATTGGTATTAATGATTCTGAGATAGCAGTAGCAATGCTGAAGATAGAGGGAAAGAAATACGTATTTGCACATCAAAAAGGGAAATGGGTCAGTACTTAATAACTTTACGCTAAAATGATAAAGAAGTAAAAAACATTAAGAATTCTTCATTACTTAATGTCTTCATCAGTCTATACTACAATAGGTTATAATCCTTTTCTTTTTTCAAAGTCTCTCCAACAATCCATGAACAAGGTCACTTGGTCGAGCTAAGTATGTCCTTCCCACCTCAAAAATAATAGCATACATATCTATATTTTCTTCCTCAGGTATAGCAAGAAAATGTAAAAATAGGGCTACAGAAATTTTGTTTTGTTCATAATGGTTCCAGCAACCCTATGATTACACTTCTTCAGCGTAATTCTTACCAATAAGAAATGTTTGAGATGCTAAATCTTATCTTTCCCACTTAATTTATCTCGGTTTTCATCATGTCTAACTGCTTCTAGTATAATGACCGCTCCATCTCGAAATTCAAGCCAAAATTAATTACCGACTTTCGATATAAAGTTATTGTGCTCCCGATTATGCGTTCCACATATATTTAATTCTATAATATACTTTTCAAAGCTAAAAGCCCGTAAATAAAATATCATAGAATAAGAATAAAACCGTGAGACTTCACCTTGCGACTTTCGGTTTTATCCAAATAATAAAAACTTTAGAGTAGCAACATTCCAGTTTTTACTTTCCGAATAAAGTTCTTATAATAGCAAACATATACTCGAAAGGGATTAAAACTTCTAATAATAATTATTTATAAGGCTAAACTTTTATTAATAAGTTCTGCTTTAGTATAAAATAAATCATAACAAATATTTAAATAACATCAATTTTTTTTCAACCTCAATAGTAAAAATGCTCAATGTAATAAATTAATACTATTTTTCATAATCTTATTCAAGAGTACGAAAAGCCGTAGCAACATTTTTTAAAACACTAAACAATTTACTTACGCTAACTTCTAATTTTTTCAAAAAAAGCAAGAACTATATTAATATTTTATTTATTATTCATTTCTGGAAAGTAAAACTTGATAGAATTTTTTTTATATGAGTTATGATTTAGCGAAGGCGCACAGTTTCTGGAGGGTTCGGTTATTGCATCTTTTATAATAATAATAATAATATTTCAAAAAAAATATATTGTAACGTAGTTAAGAAAACTTATAACAAAAATATTACTACAAAAAAATTATAATAAAATAATAAAATCATACTTCCATCAAAAGTTTGTTCAGCAGAGCAAAATCGTTTGGACGGCTCCTTAAAAAACTTGCGTATATCGAGATTCACCATTGGCTTGTCCGTCATCGATATCCCCTTCGAAAGACTGTCGCTCCATAAAAAATATGAAGGTTCTATAAAACTGTTTCCCGAAAAAGTTTCAGTTTTTTCTTTATCATAAACTTTAATAACAATAATAAGAAGTAAACATTAATATGAATACGACGATAATATTAATAATAAAGTTTAATAATAATAAGAATAATATATCTAGAAATGAACTGACGATAATAATAACAATAATTATACTAAGTAAAAAACTTTAATAACCATAATAGTAATAAGTAAATACTATTTGAATAAGAGGAAAATAATATCAATAAGTAAAACTTAAAATGATAATAATGATAAGTAAAAATAAATATGAATAAGACGATATTAATAATATTAAGTAAATATAAAAGTGAATAAGGCGTTAATAACAATAATATGTAAAGGGACAAGTAATAGTTATTATAAATTTTAATTATAATAACAAGTAAAAATTAATATGAATATAATGATTGTATTAATATAAATAGTTAAAAATAAAAAAAAAAGACGATAATATTAATAGTAATAAGTAAAAAAAATATATTAATAATATTAAGTATAAATGAGTACTAATAAAACAATAATAATAATAAGGAAAAATAAATAAAACTATAATATTAATAATAATTACAAGTGTAAATATCTGTAATAATAAGTAAAAATAACTATAAAACGATAATAAGTAAAAGTATTAATATATGTTAATAATGAGACAAGAAATATATAAGTGAAATATAAAATATATAAAGACGATAATGATAAATAAAAAGATAATAATAATATGTAAACGTATAGCGATAATAATAATATGAAAAAATATAATTGAGGATAATAATATTAAAAAAAAATAAATAAAATAAGGCCATAATAAGAAGGAAAAATATAAAAAATAAATATATAAAACGATAATAAAAATAGTAATAAACAAGAGGTTAGTAAAATAACAAATATGTACATAAAATGTTATATAAAATATGATAATATGTAAATAACTTAAATAATAATACAATAGTAAGAAAAAAAATAAATATATCACCAAACAATAGCAAGTAATTTTATAGATAAAATATATAAGAAAAGTAAATATAGAGAGAAATAAAAAGTAAACAAATAATAAATAAAAAAATAGTATAATTATGAAACATTTGAGTAGCAAAAACAACACGTCAACTTTTTCACTCCAATGCAAATGTAGCAGCTTGATGACTTTACGGCAATGAATAGTCCTAAAGAGGCCCTAAATGGCTGCAAACCTCTACTACACCACGCGATTTTACTTTTATTCTAATAAAAATGTTATAAAGCGTTATAAAATAACTGTAGAGGGCTAACAAACCACGTGACCATATTTTTTACGCTAATGAAAATGTTTCAGAATGAATTATAACAACTGTAAGAGGCCCAATGCATGTGACTATTTTCTTACGGCAATTAAGAGTTTAATATTTTTATACCAATGAAAAAGTTCCAAAGCGATATAAAAAAGCTGTATAAGCCCAAAACACACGTGACTATATTTTTTACACCAATCAAAAGGTTAATTTTTAATTAATTAAAAATTTCATATTTTTTACCGGGAATTTCCACGCTAAAATCTTCCAGCTCCGCAGGTTTATATTCTCTGCTGAGCTCCCAAACTTTAAGAGTTTGATCGTCCGAACAAGAGACTATCTTTCTTGTATTTATTATTATTATATTATTATAAAGAAAATATTTTATTATAAAAAATAAATAATAAATAAAATGGAAAAATATATAAAACCTTTTTGATTTTTCCAAATAGTATATAATAAAATATTAATAAAACTGGTATTATAATCAATTTGTGCTGAAGTTTTGTAAAACCTGACGATTAACTTTTCTTATATTAATTAAGAAAAAAATATAATTTCATTATAATAATAAATCAAAATAAGAGCAAACTTTTTTAAAATTACAGTTATAATAAGGAAGTCTGGAAGTAATATAATATTATTACGAACTTTACTAATTTTCTTTTTAGTACAGGTAAAAGTTAACTTTTCTATATTTGTTAACTAAAAAATACAATAACAAATAAAAGTTAATAATAATAATAAATAAATAGTAGAAACCGCAAACTTTTTAAAAATATTTTCTTATTATATATTTTTTTTCATTGTTTTTTGATTTATAAAAAAAATATTATAATACAAATTATGATAATAATAACAATAATGATAATAATATTGGTAATAATAATAATATTAATAACAATAATAATGATAGTATTAATAATTATTATAAAAACTCGCCTCGCCTATTTGCTGAGGGCACCAAGCCACGCAAGAAACTTCTTCATCATGCCCTCGTAATATGCAATATGGAAGTTCAGAACATGAATTCACCTTTTTTATATATATAACGTTTTATTTATAATATTAGATAAAAAATACTAAACTTTATTAAAAATAATAATAATAAATATTCAAAACTTAGAAACTTCTTAAAAATATATAGTAAAAAAAAATTGTAATATTTATTAATAAAAAATAGAGAAAACCTCCCAAATATATAAGGAATGATCAGCAGCGCCGCTAATAATATAGTTACCATCAGGACTGAACGCGGATTTTATATAAAAGGAGCCCTCTATATAATATAAAATATTAGAAAAAAGTTATGGTTTAGTTTTTTATAATAAAAACAATAAAAATAAAAAGTTATTATCGCATAAGAAAATATTAAGTTATTATTTTTGTTTTTCTAATAAAAAATACAAAAAATATACTTATAATAATAAAAGTTATTACGGAATATAAAATTAATAATTATTATTATATTAATTAATAAATAAATATTTTTTTTGGTTTTTTTTGAAAAAATGAAAAAAATATATTTATAATGAAAAAGTTATTATGAAGTACCAAACCTGATAATAAATTTTTTTAAATAGAAAAACAAAAAATATTTTAAAAAAATAATAAAGTTTTTATCTTATAATAAAAAATAATAAAAAAAGATATTATGGAAACATATATATTATAATTGTTTTTATATTTAATAAAAAAATAATTAAATTAAAATAAAAAAATTATTATTGCATAAAAAATATTATAGTTATTAATTTTTCGGTATTTTTAAGATAAAGATTCATAAAGTATTAATAATTAAACTTATTACGGAAAATTATAATGATAATAATTCTTCTTATAGAATATAAAAAACCATATAAAATTATAATAAAGTTACTATGGCTTAAAAAAATTACTAATTACTTTTATTGTTTTCCTAATAAACAAATATATATATTTATATACAAAAATTATAAAAGTTTTATCGCATAAAAAATATGTTATTTTTGTTTATATGTATAATAAAAAAATTTATAAAATATTAATAGCAAACTTATTACGAAATATAATAATGATTATAATTTTTTTAATAAGTAAATAAAAATAGTTACAAAAAAAAAAGTTATTATTGATAAAAAAATATTAAGTGATTATTTTTCTTTTTTTTTTTTTAATAAAAAATTAAAAAGAAATATTTAAACAATAATAGTTATTATAATATAAGAAACTGGTAAATCAAAGTTTTAATAAAAAAAAATTATTATATATAAAAATAAAGAGTTTTATCCCATAAAAAGATATTAGAGATATTTTTTTTGTTTTTTAATAAAAGAGAAAAAAAATAGTTAGTATTTATATAGAAAAAAAGTTTTTATTTTTTCTTTTCCCAAAAAAAATATAAAAATATTTAGTGAAACTTTCTTAAAAATTTAACCAAGCACGTGGAATTCCGTTAAAAACTAAAAAAATTGTTACTAAGGTGCCAGTCTCGACATTGCACATTGTACCAATCAAAAAAATGGCTTATTAGATCACGTGCTTTAATAAATAATTATTTTTCATAAAAAATAATGCATTATGCTTAACAGCCGTTTGAGATTTATTATTCGCATGAAACGTTTTTCTCAAAATTATGGGTTAATAATTTTTTTTAACCAATAATTTAATGAATTCTAAAGTTTTTATAGTAAACAAAATTATTACTAAAATGAATCATTAAAAAAAAATTTTCTCAAAAAAAATTACATAAAAATTCAAAAATTATTTTACAAAAAATATTTGAGCAGCACGTGATTGCATCTCAGAATAATTGGTGAAAAAATTTTGATTACTAAATTGAGGTGTTTAATAACCATTAAATTTAATAAAACGAAAAATAAAAAATTGCGCCAAAGAAGCATGGTGCTTACTTAAAGGGAAACGGTATCAGTTAATAGACTATTTTATAAATAATAATTGTAGCATTAATAACAGTAGTAATAATAATAATGATAATGATAATACTAATACTAATACTAATACTAATACTAATACTAATAATAATAGTAATAATAATAATAATGATAAACCTGATTTATGGCCCGTATACTTTTTCACGTTTTTTCTTGAAATATTTATTGTATTGTATTGATAAATCCTCATAGAAAAATTATAATTATGAAATAAAAAGATTTTAAGCAAAAACAGTTTTATATTTAAATTTTTAATTTCATTAAAAATAATTATAAAATCTTTTTTAACCAATCAGCTTTTATAAACCAATAAAAAATTAGTACACATCATCTGTGCAGCTGGCCAATAATTGAGAACCCTCGGAATCAACAGCCAATGACGTGAAGCCTAAAAAATATAAGTTTAATTGTTTAACGTAAAAGATTATTATTTTTACTATTATTACTACTATCACTATTATTAGTAGTATTATTACTATTATTATTATAATTATAATTTTAAATATTACTTTATATTTATTATAATAACAATTATTATTAATATGAAAAAAATAAAACCTTTATTAAGGGCGCTTCCGGTATAAGGAAAAGTACAAAAGGGCGTAAATGGTGACTTTCTGATGTCCCACAATTTTATAACGCTAATAAGGATAATGGTAATAATGATACGAAAAACAATAACAGTAATAGCAACACTAAACCCATCACCAGCCCCGCAAGAAGCTAAATAAAAGGTATTCTTAAGAAAAGTGACTGCAGTGACACTTTGTTGAGGCTCCTGCAAAAAATACAATGATTATAATTCATAATAATAATGATGAATAATAATAATAATAATAAAAACTCTAAACGATAACCCGAAGTAGTCGCGCGCGCCTCGATTTTTGTAACGTTCGTCTGTGCGCGTTGCGGATGATTCGAAAAGGATGATGAAATGTACGCTCTTCTTTAGTTTTTATTATAGTAATAAATAGTAATAGATATAACAATAATAGTAGTAAACTGCTCTGATCTTTGCACGTGCCACTGTCCCTTCTATCCCATAGACAAATATTACCATCACGACCAGCGCTAGCAAAAACGACTAAACGTTTAAAAAAAATGAGCGAAGCAAAAAAAAATTCATAAAAAATAAGTAAATGAAAAGAAACGAGAAGTAGAAAAATATATAAAAGAAAAAAAATGAATAGAAAAAAGAGTTAAAAAAAAATAAACTTTTAAAAGAAAACGAATAGAAAATCTGGATAAAGAAAAAAAATAAACAGAAAAAATGAGTAAGAAAATTTCTTTAAAATAAAAGTAAAATAAGTAATATTTTTTATAAAAAAAAATTCCAAAAAAAATATAATAAAAGTGAATATAATAATATTATATTAAATTTCAAGGAAACCAAAACTTCTAAATAAAATAAAATAAAAAAGTAACACTTTTCAATAAAACACCTAATAAATATATAACAAAAATACGAAATTATATTATTGTATTATAAGTAAATTAAAACTTTTAAAAAATAATGATAAGTCAAAAAGTAATGCCTCGTTAAAAAAAAGATATTCAAAAGGTATATAACAAAGAAGAGAAAAAAATAATATTATATTATATCTCCAGTAAATCAAAACTTTATAATAAAAAAAAGTTAAAAAGTGATACCCCGTTAATTAAAAAAAGTTGTAAAAAAAGAATGAAGATAATAATATTATATTATATTAAAATTCAAGTAAATCAAAAACTTTTATATAAAAATAACGTAAAAAGGTATTACTTTATAAAAAAAATTACAAAAAAAATTAAGGATAATAATATTAAAAGAACTGTTTCGAAGGAGTACAAAAATCATTGAGCCGAAATTTCACGGACTTCACGCTACTCGTGTGGCCCTTAAAAATAACAGCTGATTGTTTTTCCACATCCCATAACTTTATGCTGTGATCTCCTGAGGACGACGCCTACGAAAAAAAAACGTCGATTGAAATAATATTTATTTGAAGTTATTTATAAAACGATATAAGTTTTATATTCTTAAATACATTAATAAAAAATATATAATATTTAAAAATAATTAGTCTAAAAAAAAGTTGTATAATAAATATAAATTATAAATAAAAACCTAATTTCTAAAAAAATTGTATATAATTACGCGTAAAAAAATTAAAGTTTTGTAATGAAAAAACTTACTTGAAATTATTTATAAAATAATATAAATTTTAAAAATAAATACTTTAATGAATTATTAATAATAAATTATAAGTTTCATAAAAAAAATTATACACTAAAAAAATTTATTATTACGGGTTAAAAAAAAAATCTAAAATAAAAAAATTGCTTAAAAATAAAATAAAAATATAAATTCTAAAAGAAAAGAAAACATTCTTAAATAAATTATTAATAAAAAATAGAAATTATCGAAAGTATTACGCACTAAAATACTGATATAATTATGCGTAAAAAAAAATTTAATATTTCATAATAAATTATAATAAAAATTATTTATATTTACGCCTAAAAAATAGCTTTTTGTAATAATAATATTACTTATAAATAAAAATGAATGTAATAAAAATTATAAATTAAAAAAAGAATTGATAAAAATGCTTATAACTACGGTGAAGAAACAAAACTTTTATAATGAAATCTACTTATAAATAAAAATGAAATAAATAACAAAATCACATAAATTTTAAAAAAAAGAATTTACTATAGTACCAGAAAAAAGTATAATTTATTACCAAATTTATATATAATAATAAAAATATTTAATACATACAAAAATTATTAAAAATTTGTTAAAGAAATTATTAAAAATTATAAAATATAATTACAAAAAATTATTAATCACTTTTAAAATATTTTTTAATAAATAATTTATCTTATTGCTAAAAAGCTTTTTACTTTTAAGAAAACTATTTAAGTTAATTAAAAAATTAACTACCATAAAAAATATTATACATAATTTATAATTATTTTACTATTTAAATTAATTTTAAATTAGTTAAAAATTATTTTTTTCTCGTGATATTAAAAAAAATTTATATGATTTTTTAGTAGGAATTACCTATAAAAACTTCTTTATAAATTATATTTTATTATATGATACCGAGGAGTTTTTTCTTGTAATTTCTATTATATAAGTTCTAATAAAAGGTTTTACAGTAATATTAATGCTAACAAGCTAATAATTATAATTTAATTATATAAAAATGAAAATTATTTCTTGTGAATTTTTTTTAAGTCAAATAAAAGGTTTTAAATTAATAATAATGCTGTCAAGCGAATAAATTTAAAAATTATAATTTATTATATAAAAAGAAAAACTTTTCTTTTAAATCTTAAAAAAAAAAATTGGCCTTAGAATAATGTTGATAAGCTATTAAAATAACTTTTAAAATCCTTAATGACAACAAAAAAAATTGCTTTATAAAATTTAGCAGTGAAAAAAAGTTTTAAAGGTTAGTAAGAAATAATATACTTCTCTAAAACTGCTCAACTCATCTTCTTAATACTCTCTTTAGCTACTTCACAATATAATTTAATTAATAATAAAAATTATAATAATTTTAATAAAAAAATTATATAATTCAAAAAAATAATAATGTTTTAATAATATAATATTTTTGTAACAATTTTCACTTTAATTTTCTACAAAATGATACCAATAACGGCTCTTGATCAACCCAAGAAAGGTCAAATATAGCGTTGTTATGGCCTTTCCAAGTATGTAAAAATTTATTTTTATAATTTCTAAGAAGTGTATCGAATAAAAAAATATCCCCTCCTTCATTTGCAGCTGCTAACAAACGCCCATTTCTTAGAACTAAATCAATTTTATTTAAAAGTAATTATAATGAAAACTGAATTATTAATAACACCTTTATGATAAGCGCAAGAGAAAAAGGGCGAGTTTGAAGTAATGGTTTTACTTTTTCTACAAATAAAATACTTAAAATAACGATTTATCTTTAGATTATTTCGAAAACCTAAAAAATACGAATGAATATATAAACATATTATATTATAGAGAGAAGAACCTCCCAATAACTTTTTTTCTCTTAATCGTGTATAATAGAAAGTGTTATTATATATATTAGAATATTCTTTTTGTGCCCTTGTAATTTCTTGAGACATCTAATATTACTATAAAAATTGTGATAAATTTATTATTTAATAAATATTCAGCGTAAAAATTAACACCACAAAAGAAAAATTATCCAGAGTCTAAAAAGGGAGAATGTAAATAAATGAACACGAAAGAAAATATAAAAAAAATGTATTCATAACATAAAATTTAAGTTCTGGTTATAATCATAAGTCCGGCTCAAACTTTTTTCTTGCAATTTAGCAAATTCCTGAAGGAAAAGGGAGAGGCTTCTTTAAAGATAGCGTAATTTTTTGCACGTGCGTGTTTTCTTTTACGCGCCTTATTAATCATATATCTGTAAAGGAAACAGTTTTGTTTTATTTTCGCACTTTTACGCGTTAGAATAGCGTGATTTTTTTAACTATTACTATTATTTTTTTTTTGTTGCTCTCGTCTTGTCGTACATAAAATTTTTTTTTTATTAAAATAAACACAACTTCCAATCTTTTTTTTTAACTTGATCTCTAAATTATTAATAACTTTTATAAGACCACCTGTAATAGTTAAACTACAATCGCTTAATTCTTGCTTATACTTTACCTGGTGTTAAAAAACTTCGCTTTCTAACTTTACTTTACATTTTTTATATAATTGACAATTCCATTGTCATTCATATATGTGTTTCTCATAATGCCCCCACGCCCTTAAAATATGAAATTGTTAGCTTTTGGTCATATAGACTACCGGAATTATTTCAAAATTGAGAATGACTCTATATTAGGCAAAAAATTGAATAGGTGGAAACGGATTCGTTTTCGTGAGCGTGGCGGTTCTTAACTGGAGTTGAAAACATGGCTACCGAGTTACTGTCCAAAGTTAGGCATCATGAAGTTTCCGAATGGGCTATGATAGTGTTGGTTGTGATAGATAAATATTCAAGATAAATTTGTACGAGACAAATGTAAAAGGTTTCTACGTTTGAGGTATTAAGTTAATAGAAAAACTTTCTATAGAATGCAAAAACCTTAAGAACTAATAACAGATAAGCAGCCAATTTTTGTTAGCTCTGAAAAATTTTGTTTATAAAAATAACATTAATCATCACCTCCGTTAATGTAGATCGTCAAAAAGTGGAGGGCGAAAAGTGGTCATGAAAGACAAGACGCTTGTAATACGATATAGGATGATTAAAGTTTTACTATAAAAGATTAACTAACTTATTAGAGCGTCTCCCTCGCTAATGCTAGAAAAAAAAGAAAACAAATTGAGGTAGATTATGCATACTTCGTGAGAGAAATTATGAGGAAGAAGTAGGTACAATCAAGCTCCTAAACTCTTCATTGGTTATAGGAAATGGCATAATTATTTAAAAGTTTTTAAAAAGATTGATGTATATAAGGCTTTATAATAAAAATGTGAAATAGGTTGAGAACTTGGATGTAGGTGTTGTAACTTATTTTGAGAATAAATGTTGAGGCCTTTAGCGCAGTTATACGGAGGGGCTACCCAAATAAAACCGTGGTTTACAAATTAAATTACTATGGTAAATTTGCTTAAGCGTCTAGGAGATCATATTAAAAAGTTTTTGTAAAGGATTTGTTCGCCAATTTTATACGTTTAGGAAAGTTGGAAATATACTTCTGATAAATGTTCGGTGAAAAAAACTAGGAGATTAACCCGAAGTTTTACTGCTAAATATGGTTGCCCTTGGTTAGGAAGAGTACCTGCTTCATAAATAGATGGAAAGGCTGGACGAGGCCTTTAGGCCAGGATACGTTCAATCTGCCTAGTGACAAAGAATTGTTAGATTTTTAGATCTCTCATAATAACATAAAAAGTTCAACATATTAACAGAATTCAAATTTTTCTAATAGATGTGATTATCGCTCAAAAATGCTTTTAAGTTTGAATCTAAGTAATTCCGGCATTATTTCTGAGATAGTTGAAAGGGGGGAGCCGTAGATGATGGAGGTCACGTGAAAGTTACCATATATGGCACATTTAAGCCTAAAAAAGGTCAACATATTTACAGCATGAAATTATCTAATAAATGCGATTATCACCCAATGACGCTTTTTAAGGTTCAACCTAAGTAACTCCCACATTATATGTGAGAGTTGAAAAAAAAAGGGGTGGGGGAGCGTGGACGTTATTTACACGTGGGAAGCAACTTCAACATAAGGGCATAACAAAGATATGGACCGCGCCTTTCTCCCTTTTTAGTGTTAATGACTCGGTGGTGTCTGTTGTGCTCTCAAGGCGGCTGGAAAACTATTAAGTAGAGGAGCTATTGCAAACCTTTCAAGCTTTGACAAACCTTATATTGTATATTGGTCTTTATATTCTTAACTTCTGTACTGAGTCAAAAAAAGGTTAGGTTTCGTTTATTTTAATTTGAACGTAAACTTATTAATACGGCAAGCTTACTTACATTAACTATGAAATGTTAGCGGATACAATTTCTGTTTTGTTAAATGTCGTTGCTGTTTCAACTTAGTTTATTTTTTTTTTAAACCAATTTTAGCTTTAATTAAATACGTTATCATCAAAAGTAAAGCTTCTAGCCCAGTAAAAGTCGATAAATTAAAGTAAACACATTAAGTAAAAATAATTAGTAAAGTGTTATAGCTTCTTAACTGCTTTAAAAATTATCCTAAAAAATATAAAAATATTTAAAAGGTACAGTTAGTTTTATACCTTACAACTTTTATTAAAATTTTATGTTCTCATCAGATCATAAACTTTAGATTATTTGAAAGGTTTTTAAAAAAAAACGAATACAAAAGAGAGTACATAACTTATATTTCAAGCAAACTTTTTAGAGTTATATAGAAAATAAAAATTTTATTGACCTCGTAAAAAAAACATTTAGTAATATACATATTAAATTAATAAAAAACAATACATCCTAATTTTACTAAATATACTTATTTCTTTGCAAAACGAGAAGAGGAGACGTTTTATAAGTAACTTTGCTAAAAGTATATATCATTATTATTATTAAGAAGGTTAGTAAAGTTACAATTGAAATACTAGAAGTTTTTAAAGGGAATAAAAAAGGAAAAAGTACGAAATAAACTTTTTAAAGTGATCTTTTAAACTTTTATTTACGTATAAGCTAAACTAAGCCTTTCCAAAAATTCTCAAAGGCGCACGCTGTATAGTTTTTCTACCTCTAATCTATAATTTTGTAAACCTTTAACTTTATTTTACTCTTTAGTACCTTATATTATTAATATCATGTTTTACCAATTATTAATACATATTTATATAGAGGGTTATTATTATTATAATATGGAAAACCACTAGGTTTACAAAAATTTAACTTAACGCCTAAATTAGCAGCGAAGTTTACTACTCTGTGTACTATTTCTTTAGAGAAATAATTTTTTTTTGACAGTTTGGTGAAGTACCATGTGGACGGGCTAACTACGTTACTTTTAAACTTAATAGTTTCTTAAAATTCTTTGTATTAAACGAATTTGTTCTTTTGTACTGCTCTTGCAGTAATATAAAGCTTTTATGAATACAGGTGACGTTTGTACGAAACACTTTTTTATTCTTTAATGGCGTCTCCTTTCAATAATTCAACTCAACACTTGTCTCATCTTGAAAACGAAGATTATAATAAAATAATTAATAAACCTGTTGCTAATTGTTCTAGCTTATTAGGTCATGATGCATCAGAAAACTTAAAAACCTTCGAATTACTTACAAACAATTCACATGAAAGTTTTGGTAAACAATTGAAAAGAGATTCCACTTTTGTTAATAATGTTCCTGTCGAGCATTTAAACAAAATTTCCAAATTAGAGAATACACAGTTTTTAGAGGGATTTAGAGCTGAAGAGAACTCTGCAATAAACTCGAGTTATACCGGTAGTCGTTTTATTTCCGAATGGTTGCCCACTGTTAGCAAGCCTATAAATAATACTAAAAATCATTCCAACTCCATACTTCTACAGAATCATTATACAGAGCCCTGCTTTAAAAATATTGGCATTAAAAGAGGAATTCAAGAAACTATATATCCTGAAAAAGGCGAAAGTTTTACCGTTACCGAAGCAAAGAGGACATGTACGCACGATGAACTTTGTAATTTTGCTCAAACTTCAGAATATATAAATAATCCGGAAAATCGTGCTTTAGTTTCTTATAATCCCATCACGGACTTTGCAAGGAAAAATACATTCTTTCAAGATTATCAATATTATAATAACTTGAACGCTTCTGTGCCTCGTTGTGAAATTCCTTTAACTTCCAGTTATTGTTTTGAATTGGTTCCTTATAACGAGCAAATAGCCCGCTTCAGAAATTTACATTCTCTTAATTCTGCTTATAAACCGCTAAAGGACGAAAGTATTAATAAAGAACAATATCATAAGGAAAAATTGATAATAGGGCCTAATAATAACAATCATCCTTTTTTTCAACGAAATGTTATTGTACAAGATGAACAACACAAAGGTATAACTTTTTTAGATGGAGGAGGCTACATAATGGAGTTACCAGATGACTAAATAATAGTTTATATTATATAATAAGTTGTTATTATACAAATTTTGATAACATGTTTTAGGTTGCATCACTTTTTGACATTTATATGTATAAATCACTCCAATTTTATTAAATTGAAAACTAAATCATGCTTAAAATTTTTTTTTGTATTATGCTTATATCAGGGTTTTCAAAGTTTTTTTTCGCCGATTTTAAGAATATAAGTTAATTACTGTGCGAAAATTTTATACTTCCATTACTTTATTTGACTTCTATAATATTTTTGGCTTGCCGAAGTTTTTAGCTGACGAGGCCAAGGGTGATGGAAATACTTAAAAGTTTGCATACTAATTATAGTGCTACTCACTTGATAGCATTTTATATTTTATAATATTACTAACACAGGATTTCTCATATAGTTTTTTCTTTATTTATACGTTAATTATGTTCTACTTTAAAAGCAGAAAGAATTTCAATTTTTATAGAAAGTGTGTTTCCTATATTTTTATATACTTACGATGTTTTTAGGTATATCATTGTTAATTTAGTTATAAATAATATTATCATAGTTTTGCGAAAGACAAGCATAGTTGTAGGTGGCAAATTTATTTCAGCTCCTTTTTTTTAGTTTCCATATTTAATTGTATAGTTTATAAATCAAATACTTTTTAGGGGGAAGTAAAGGTATAATTGCGTATGACTTATATTTTTGTTTTAGCGGTAATTTATTATACATATTAGAAATTTAAGAAGTTCTGCTTATATGAAGGGCAAAAAGGATTAAGTTTAATTATATTTTTTTTTCCCTTCTGCGTTTTTCGATTAAAAATTTAACTTGTACTTCTAGTTCCAAGCTACCTTGTTAACTTAGTATCCTGTAGCCTTGTAGCACTTTTAGTTTCAGGTTTTGGGTTTGATACTCGAAAATAAGTTATTAAAAGTTTTATAAAAAACTAAACAATACTTTTTCAAGAAAGATGGAGTTATAGCTATTTTTAAAAAAAACGCAAGCCCATTAAATTAGCTTTATTTCATAAACTAAAACTTTAATGCACTAAATAAAGAACAAATTATTGTCATTTTATAGTCAGTAAGCTAAAAAACGTTAATTTACAAAGAACAACCCAGACAATTGTTTGAGTTAAACTCGAATACATTTTTTATGGGATTTATATCATAAAAATACTGCAAGTAATCGGCGACAACATTATCAACCTACAATCCTTCAGATTAGTTTTTAAAGTTTTAAGTTCTGTTCCGTTCTATTTAATACTCTCCAATTTCAAATACCGTTTCAGCTTCTAGCCCTTTACTAAGTTTAATAGAAATTCTGGTAACCACATCCTTACAGTGTTTTAAATATGTTGAACAACGTTTATTTTTAATTTTAAATTTCTTAATCTGGCTGTATAAACAGTATCTTAAAATCAGCTTCTAAAACTAAATTTTAATTAGTAAAAGAAGTTTAGTAAATAAATTTACTTTTTCTCATTAAGAGATGAGTAATTATGGTCCAATAGTATAACCTCCTGAAGAAAGTAATCTTTAGCCGGGTTCAGCGCTAAAAATAACACAAAAATAAAATAATTTTTAATACTAAACAAAAATACAAAAACTAAAAACAAATTTGTGACTTTTTAAATTTTTCGACTAAAAGGAATAATTGTATAGATGAAAAGTCAATTTAAAAAACAACTTTACTTTTTTGGTTTTATAAAACTATTTTTTTTTAAAAAAAAATTGTGCTTAGAATTTTACATATGATTGTATATCAAATTTTTTTTCACAAAAATATATTTTAAAAATAATTTTTAAAAATAATTTTAATTTCTTTTAAAGTGAATAAATAAGGACCGAAACCATTCAGTAAAATGTTTTCGCAAATTCATTTTGTACAATCACGTCATTATGTATTATGTACATTTTAAAATTTACGCACCTTTATTTTTCAATAGTTTCTTTTGCTTTTCATTTCCTGTAATTAAAATTTTAAAGTTAACGCTTTAATATGTTCATATTGTTAACTATTTCAATTTTAAATTTTATGGACCAAAATTAGAAAAAAAAAATTAAGAATTCTTTGAGTATCTTTGCTACCATAGCAATTGTTTCTCGTTAGAATTTTGATTACGTTTCTCATCCCTTTATAACTCTTAAACTAATACGAAGATGGGTGCAAACCTTTTTTATTTAAATAAATTTTTTACATAATTCAAATTTTACTTTGGCATGTTAGTGCTTTGCAAAAAAAGCAAATATTATCCGAATAAAAAAGAATGGAGCGCGGAAATAGTTTATTTAAAAATTTATAAAATATTTTTTATGTGGCACTTTCACTCGGCATTTTATTTTATTTTTCTTGTTCAGTTAGTTTCAGTTGTACTAAGTAATTTAAAATAATTAAATATATAAAGTTCGAAGATTTATTAATATTACAACATTTTACATCTATAAATTATAATTTCTTGAAATCAATCATTATAAAGTTAACTGCTCGAATATTTTGGTATTTATGGGTGATAAATTTCCGTAAAGAATTATTTTTTAAAAGATATACTTTATTATAACTTACTTAGAGAAAGTACACTGTAAGTAACGGATTTGCTGGTTCAACGTTTTCTGTAAAGGATATTTTACTATAAATAAGAGGGGGAGCCAAAAGAGTAAAAAGACTAGACGTAAACTCTTATATAAAAAAGCGAGAAGAAAAACTTTTCTATAAAATAATTTTTAGGAATTAATAATATTCAGGCTTCTAAGAAGTAGATGGTTCTATTACACTGCACATTTTTTCTTTTGTAAAAAATAGAATTTGTAAAACAATAATGATCTCACTATTGAATCGCAAACTTTTATTTCATATATTTCTATTCAAACTTTTTGTATAAAATACTATAAAAATTCCTCTATAAAAAACAAATATAATAGCTTTTTTAAGTTTAAAAATATTATCAATCTGGTTTTTCTTATTTCATAATAATATTATGAGTTGGGTGTTTTTTAAAAAAAGTTAAAAGTTTAGCGTTTATTACTATTGTATCGCTCGTTAGTAATCATTTTATCACTGTAAAAAAAAAAATTTAAAAAGTTGATGATACTAAAAGCTGCGACTACCTTTTTATATCATAACACTATTAAGAAATTAAATACAAACAGTATAAAAATTAAAAAGTACACTACCCTACTCACTTTTATATTAAATTAAATTCAACATTAAAAGAATAAAAGAGAATATTGAGGCTTTAAGGAAATTTTAAAAATTATAAAATTATAAAGTATTTTAAAAAGCAGAAGTCTGTAAATTTTCCAAGCTAGCAAAAATAAAAACGTCATTTTTTGTCTAAAAGCTAATGCCGATAAGTTTAGCGGCTAACTAAGGTAACGCGAGCGCGGTGGGTCACGATTTTTAACCTAAATTTAAAATATACTTATAAAGGAGATGTCCTCTGAATTAAATTATATTAATGTTAAGACTTATAAAAGTTTCATTTAGAAGTAATTATTAAAAATAAGTTAAAATTAATTAACTCATAATTTTTCTTTAAGACAAATTAATTAAATGAGATTTAATTACTACTTATAAAACTTTTCTTTTAGTAACTTTATTAAAATATAAAAGATTTAATATACACTTAAAAATTAATCTCGAAAAGTTATTAAAGTAAACTTTAGTTTAGTTTATGATTTCAAATTTTTCTCTTTAAAAATTACAAGTTAAATTCGCATACTCACTTTTGGAGATTCTACCATAAGTAATTAAGATTTAAAGTGAATTATACTTACTCTATATTTTAGTAATATTTCTTTTAAATTATATATTTCAATTCTATTAACAAAATTTCCTTTAAAAGATATTATCAAAGTCCAAACTAAATTAATTCATATTAATGAAAATAAAATTAGATTTACCTTATAGCTAACTATAAATTAGAAATTACTTGTACTTGTAAGTTTTAAAATTATAATAAATTTACGTAAAAAACTTTTTTTTGTAATAATTATTAAAATAAATTAGATTTTATAATATATATTAATTTACCATGATATAATATTTAAAGTCAGATTAAATTTAACGTTATACTTAAGTATACTCTTCTTTTGGGAGTATTTACTAAATTAAATTAAAATAAATATATCCTTTTAAATTTCTCGTTGAATAATATTTATCAAAATAAATTAGATTTACTTTACACTTTCAAATTTCTCAATATATAATATTAATTTGAAATTATATTTAAGTTTAATTAATGATTATTTTCCTTTTCTTTTGAAATCAATAAATAAGATTAAATATTAATTATAATTATAAAACTTTTCTCTTAATGATATTTATTAAAAAAGTAAATTAAATTAAATTCAAACTTTTTTGATATATACTTTTAAATTTCTCATTAAATAATATTAATTAGTATTATATCAAAATAAAATAGTTATAAACTATTTTCTAAAAATAATCGGGTTAAAAAAAATTAATTCATACTTATAAAACTTTTCTTATAATAAAATTTATACAATAAAAAAAATCATTTAATTTTTTATTATAACGCTTCGCTGATTCAGATTGAATTATAAATTTGAATTCTCATACTTTCCATAGAAGAGATTAACGTTGGACTTACTTACAAAAGGATTTTCTATGCATAAAATATATAATAATAATTACAAATTTAATTAATGTAGAACCAAATTAATTATTTAAAAAAAATAATATTTAATAAAAGTAACTTATTAAAAAATGTTTATTATTTAATTTTTTATAAATTATTTTTATGCATAAAAATATATTAAAATTTGTTTTTTTGTTTCTAAATGATTAAAATTTACTGTTAAATTTAGATTTTAATTAGTCTTGTACACAAAAAATAAATTATGAAATTCAATTTATTGAAAGGAGTTTATTATTATTATTCTTTAATTATATATGAATTATTTTATTATATATTTTATATTTCTATATTATTATTTAAATTTATTGTTAAATTTAATTTAACTATTTAAAATTAACAATTTTTAAATACTTTGATGAATTTTTTTAGAAAAATATTTTTGATAACAGAAATTTATTAAAATGAGTTTATATTTATTATTATTATTTTGGTATTTATAACCTTATTTTGGATAAAATATTGTTTATATTTTTTATGTAAAGTTAAATTTATATCATTTAATAAAAATTATTGTATTATTAATTATATTTGTACACATTTTAATACAACTTTATTATTATTTGATTATTTAAAAACTATTATATGCATAAAATATTACAAGAATTTTTAGTTCCTAAATTATTATATTAATTTAGAGTAGAAATATAACTATTTTTTTAAAGAAATTAATAATTATATTTAAATTATTTTTATGTATAGAAAAGTAGTATTATTATTTTTAGATTTTTTTTGTATAAATATATAGTTAGTTTATTTTTTATTTCTATATTATTATTTTAATTTAATATTAAATTTAAATTATTTAATTAAAAATTATATATTTTAATTATTTAATTATTTCCTACAGTATAATATTTTTTATATAATTACTTTAAATTTTTTAACAATATTTATGCACACAAATATACTTAAGTTTATTATTTCTACTTCATTAATATTATTAGTTTAACCAATACTAAAATTATTAAATTTATTAATTTAATTAATTTTGTACAGAAAAAAATATTTTGAATAAAAGTATTTTGTAATAATGAGTTTAATACTACTACCATCAAAATATTAATTATATAAATTCATGCACAAAATTATTAAGTTTATGATATTTTATAACTATCATTTTCAATAAATGTATAAAATTTTTTAATACAAAATTATATGCATAACTAAATATTTTACATAAAAGTTACTTATAAAAATGACTTTATTATTATTATTATAAAAAAAATATTTTTAAAATAATATTTTATTAAAACAAGTTTACTATTATTATATTAAAAAAGGTATTCTATAAAATAAGTTTACTATTATTAGCATTAAATGATTATTTTAAAAGTTTCTTATTATTAAAAATATTTTGTGTAGAGTTTCTTATTATTACTAGAAAAAATAATTTCTATTCAAGTATTCATTGAAAAGTTTCCTATTATTACTATAATAATATTTTATAGAGTTTTTTTTTTTTATAAGATAAATTTATTATTATTATTATTATTAATATCATATAAATTTCTTATTATTATTATTAAAATAATGAAAAAAAATATTATTTGTTTATTAATATTTTATAATGAATATTATTTTAATAGGTTTCTAATTATTTTCCTTTTAATAATAATTATTATAATTATTAATTAATTTTACGCAAAAAATTATTTAAAATTATTTTATTATTATTATTTATCATTAATATTCTAAATTAATGTGAAAACTTTTATTATGGTTATTAATTATTTCTATGCACAAAATGTATTTTTTATAATAAGTTAATTATCACTTTTTATTATTATATTATTATTATATTATTGTTATTATTATTACTATTATTACTATAAATATTATTATAATATTTATTTATTAGTAATAGTATTCACCTTAAATTGAAATTTCCATTTTAGAAATCGAATAATTCAGTTCTCTTTCAATTTCGGGTGATATGGAGGAATGGAATTGTCGCTTTATAAGTCTTAAAAGAGAATCTTTTTGTTCATCGCTAATATCATTTTTATATCTAAAGAATAATAATAATTATTATAGTAAAATAATAAAAATAATAAGTAATAATAATAATAATAGACGAGCCTTTGCACAAACGAGAGAAAACTTTGCTGCCATAAAACTGGATAAGTTCGCGTGTCATTTTCAGCTGTTAATATTATTATTAGTATTTATATATAAATTATTATTAATATTACTATATTATTATTTATTTATAAATTATTTTTATTATTATAATTAAAAAACCTCTTAAAAAATGAAAGACAAGTGCATCAATAACTCTATAGGGGAGTGCATATTTCTTATCAATAAAAATTCGTATAAATATAGAAGAGGCGCCTTCAATAATAATAAAAATTTATAAATAAATAATAATATGGTAATATTAATAATAATAATAAATAACTAATTAACTAAATAGTAATAATAATAAATAAAAAGAAGACCAGTATATGGGAGTTCTGCTATTTTCCAAAGAGCCGCAGCTGCGTGGAGGACTGGTACGGATGTCCGGCCAATCACGCTGCCAATAATGACTGCTTCACGGAGAGTGCACGTGCCCGACTCGCAAAGTGGCAGCAAAATCCCTTTAATGAAGGCACCCGGCTTGAAAAGCGCTTTACGAAGGGCGTCGTACAGGTGACTATTCAGTCTTTTGTACTCCGCAATGTCGTCTCGAACACGTGGATAGAGCACGAGGTTAAAAAACCTACAGGGAGTGTTGCTATTTGATACAAAAATACTCAAAAATCCGCCATTATTTACACCTTTGCGCCATACTAGACTTTAAATTGGCCACAAATAACCTCGTGGCCTGGTAAAGTGCAGCAGCGGACCAGCCTGAATTCGAAATTTTTTTATTTATAAAAAATTTAGAAAAGATAATGATTTATTCGTATTTAAAAAAAATTAAAATATTTATATTTTACTTAAAAAAAAGAATAGAAAAACTTAAGAAAATAAAACTTAATAATATAAATATTATTTATAAAAATTATTTTTTTAATAGAGAAAAAAAACTTTTTTATATATACTAACATTTTATATAATATAAATGCTTCTTTTTTTTTATACAAGAAAATATGGTATTTACAACTTTACAAAAGGTTATTATTTTTATATCAACAATAACTAACAGTTCGTAATATTTAAAAAATTTTATAAAATAAAAATATATATATACCAATCGCTACAAAATTAATATATATCAAATAAAAATTATATATTATTATTACTATTATTATTATTATTACATATTCTAATAAATAACAACACAGCCTGAAAACCAATAGTAATTCGATGATAAAAAAACCTTCTGGATTGGTTAAATATAAAAGTTCTTCCCAATTGGAGCAGCAGGGAATAGTTTTTAAGGAACGGGGAAGTTTGCCGGAACGATACCTTGATAATAACAAGCCAGTCGTCTTAAAAATTTCTACAATTTCAGGATTTATTGAGGAAACTCCGCACGCTGAAAATAACAAATTATAATAATAAATAAGATAGTTATAATATGAATAAAAATAGTAAATTGTATTTCAAAAAAAAAATTTTATAAATACTTTTAAAAAATATGTTTACTATAATTTTACTTTAAAAAAAAGGTTTATTTAAAAAAAATATATAAAAACTTTAAGTTTATTTAACTTATTTTTTTAAAACTTTTAAACAAATTATTATCACTTTCTTAAAAAATTTAAAAAATTTAAAAATTTAAAAATTTGTTATAATTAAATTTAAATAAAAACTTTTTAAAAATTATTATAATTATTATTTTATTTTACTTTCATATAACGTCTAAAAAAATAAATATTTTTAAAAAAATCTTCAATAACTTTAAAATTTAATAATTTTCAAATATTCTTTAAAAAAATTTAAAAAAAATTCGATTGAAAACTTTTATAAAATATTTTTTATAATTCTTTAAAAATTCTTAAAAAAGTCCTAAGAAATATTCGCCTTTAAAAAAATAATATAAAATTTTTCTTATTTTCTTATAATTATTTATATTTATATAACATTAATATTAATATTTATAAATTTTATTAAATTATTATAATATAAATTTCAAAAAACTGTTTTTTAAAGTTTACCAATAAAAAACTTTTTTTAAATTTTATTTTATTTTATAAAAAAAAAATACAAAGATAATAACTTTTGTATATATTATACGTATAGAAAATTATAAAAAACTGCAAAACTTAAAAATATTTAAAAAATTATAATAAATTTTACATAAATATAAAATCAGCACTACTTTAAAATGTCTTAAAAACTTCAAAAAATTTTTTGCATTACTAAGTTTATATGAAGTTTATAATAATAAGGAAAAAGTGCGGAACAATAAAACTTTTATAAAACTTTTACTAATAAAAAACCTTAAATTTCCTTTGAAATTATAAATAAAAAGCTGACGAATTTCAAATAAATTCTTTTTTATCAATATTTTAAAAATATTTAAACAATAAAAATTAAAAAAAATTTTAATAACAATTTTTATAGAATTAATTTTAAAAAAATATAAAAAATATTTAAAATTATTAATAAAATTTTTGTCCAATAAAAAAATTTAAAAAAACGCAGTTAATCAAATTAATAATAATAATTTACTTATATTACTGGTAGAATTTTGCGCTTCTTTTTCTTCAAACTTTTGCATAATAAGGTCCGCAAGAGTCACGTGTTTTTCGGGATTTGAATTCATAAAAGCTTTTAAGGCTGTATTATAATAAGAATACATAATATTAACATATTAAATATAAGTAAATATATATATATAAAATAGAATTCGTAAAGCAAAATCTACATAAACTAAATTTCAAAAAAATAAAGATGAAAATATGAAAAAATTTATATGAAAAAAATATTACAATAATATTTACAAGAAAAAAAAATAGAAATAATACTCAATATAAAAAATTGTATTAAAAAAATATAAAAATATTTTTAAGTAAATTTCGTTGAAAAAATGATAAATATATAAATTTCGAAATTTTAATTTTAATAATATTAAACATAAAATAAAAAATATTAAAACAAGTAAAATAAAATAAATAAGTATATAACATATATAAATTGTAATTAAAAAAATAAATAGAAGTATATTTTTAAGTAAAATTAGTAAAGTAAAATTTATAATACTAAATATTATATATTAGATATTTTCTTAAACAAAAAATCAAAATAATGATAGGAATAGTATAATAATATTCAAAATAATAATTATAAATACATAAAAAATTAAAAATAAAATTTTCATCTGCTAAAATATGTCAATCAAAATAAAACTTAATAATAAATATGTAAAAAGTAAAGAAAAAAGTTAAAATAAATGAAAAATTATAAAATAAAAAAAGTTTTTAATGAATATAATAAATTATAAACTTCATTAAAGACAGTAAGAAATTATAATAATAAATTAAAAAATAATAATAAAAAAGTTGTAATAATAATATATAAATAAATAATTTTAAGTTATTAAATGTTACTCAAACAAATTTTAAAAAGTAAACGTAAAAATTTTAAAAATTAATAAATAGTTAAAAAATAAGTAAAATAATAATGATAATAATAATAGTAATAGTATTTATAATTATAATAAAAACTTAACAAACCGGCTTCATCCGATTTTTGAATCTTAAAAGACTTATAAAAATCTTCTTCATAATTATCATCGCTTAACTGCTCGTGAGGGTCGAGCGATACAGAAATTAATCCTTCGTTTTCATTACAATTATTATCGTCTTTTCTAATAAAAACATTAACGTGAAGAATAATTAATAATAATAATAAATTATATTAAATAATAATGAAAAAATGATAATTAAAAAATTATATATTAATAAACATTAAAAAAATTTATATAAAAAATAAATTAATAATATTAAGAAAAATAAAATTATAAATATCAATATTAATAAATTAAAAAATCTTTAGTAAATTATGAATAAAAAAAAATTATATATTAAAAAATATAAATAATAATAAATAATAAATAAAATTTATAAAAAAAAAATAATAATAAATTTACAAATAAAAATTATTAAAAGTTATATTATTTATAAAATAAAATAATGGTCAAAAGAAATTTATAATACAAAATAAAAATAAAATATTAAATATTCAGTTATCTAATAAGAAAAAAAAGTATAAAAATGTAATTATATATACAATATTATATAATATTATTAATAAAAATAAAAGAAACTTAGTAATAACAATTATCGTAATTAGTTAGACCTATTAAAAAACAAACAAGAAAAAATTAAATCAGTAAAGGTATAAAATATTAAAAATTCAAAAAAGTGTAAAGTGTATAATAGTTAATTTCATATTAAATTCATAAATTAAACCAATATAAAACTTAAAATGTTTTTTTTTGAAAATAAAAAAATATAAATTAAAAATAAAATTTTATATAATTTAAAAATTCATTAAACAATAGTTATATATAAAAGCTAAATAAAAAGTATATAATGAAGTTTCTAGAAATAAAAAAAAGAAAAGAAGTAAATCAATTATGCTAAAACTCACTCCAAGTCGTCTTGAAAATTTTCTTCTAATTCAATTTCCTTCTGTTGCAAGCGAGCTTGGAAAAGTATTTTTCGGCTTAACTTTTCATCAACAAGCTAAAAATGGTAAATTCAATACGCATAAGAAAATTTTATTTTATTATTTGAATAAAAATTCTAAAGTAAAATGAAAGTTGCAAAATATAAAGTTCATAAAGTAAAAAAGTAAGAAAAATTTTATTAAAAAACCGTTTCATTTTTATTAGTAGAAATATCATTTTCTAAATTCTTTTGTTTTACTTTTCCTATGATTTGTCTTAATAAAGAAGGTTGAAATTTGTCTATACGTTTTCCTTTTTTTAAATTGCGAAATTTATTTTTCGGCATTTCAATCAAATTCGCAAAAAGACAAAAACAATATTCTCGTATAACGAGAGTTGAAAAAAAATTATAGTAATCTTAACAATTGAAATATATTATAATAAAAAAAAAGTGAAGATACTTTTTAGTCGTTTAACAATAATATAATAAAGATTATATAAAATTTTATCCAAAATACTATTTTATGCTTGGAAAATACTTCACGTGCTGCGCTAAACTTGAGCAAGGTTGACGTCGTAGTTGCAGTATTAACATTTGTACTTCCGGTGCTTTCAATTTTCTTAAAAACCTATTTATAGACGATGAAATATTAAAAAAAACAAAGAAAATCTTTTTCACAGTATTAACAATAATAATAATTAGAATATTTGAATATGAAAGTATATAAATAAGATAAATTTAATGAAAGTTAATATAAAGATTTTTTTATCAAATTATATAGGGAGAAACTTATTAATACTTATTTTTTAACGTTTCTATTAAAACAATATTTTAATAAGAAGCTTTAAGAAACTTATTTAGAAGAGGCAGCATCTTTTCTAAGGCTTTCCTTTTTTGTCACATAGTTTCAATGAATTTGTTAAAAACTCCAAAAAATAATGACTGCATTTGAAATAAAAGGAAGTGTTGTCACTAAAAATACTATATTTAAGAAGTTATTGAAGAATATAAACTAATTATGCTATTTTTCTACTTTTGAAATCCATGCAAACACCGAAACCGAATATTCTTTTTTTTAGACCATTATTATGCTTAAGAAATTGGTTTAATTTTATACAAAATTGAATTCGACTTTCGGGCATGTTACTTATTTTACTTTTTAATAAGTTAATATTATGCTTATATTTTTATAGAAAGCAGTAGAAAAAATAGTTTAACTAATTTATAATATTGATTACGTTTAAATTAATAATTTTAGTTGTTCAGATCATTAGTTTTTGAAGTAGCGAAAATTTAGTCATAAAAAAAGCGTTTATTAGTAAATTAATTAGTAAAACTCTTTGGTTTTTAAGCACTTCATAATCTATTAAAAGAAACATTTACTAAGTTGAACTCTGGAAACTTTACTTTTGACTAAAAATTTAATTGTAGTCTAAACCCAAACAATGACGCTAAAGTTCAGAACCTCGGTCCTAAAAAGAAAAAGAGTACGGAAAGGTTACTAAATTACTAAAAAATAAATTACACAGTTAATTTTTTTGCTGAGAACGTAAGTGTTAGTGGAAGATAATAATATTCATTTTTTTTTGAAAATCTTAATTTCTGTTGATAATTGGGAATCTTTTTAAACATTCAATCTTATAAACTATTAAAATAGCTTGCTCTAAACGCATAAGACTTTAATATTTTTCAAATTTTTAAGATGAAAAGTTTGCTACGGTTAGAGTTAACTATACCTGAAATTCCAAAAGATACTACCTGAGCAAATACCCTTAAAGATGAGGGCTACTAAATTTACAGTTCTTTTTAAACTTTGTCACAATTACCCGAAAAGGACTCCTTTCAGCTCACCAGCATTGTAGTATGCAAGAATTTTAGTACTTTAGTTTATGAAATGAAAAACTTTTTGAATCAACTTAAGTCCTTCTGTGATTGTTAAATTTATTGTTCTAATGATAATAGTTCTAAAATGTTTCCAGTGAGTGCGTGATAGGGAAAAAACACGGTTGTTTATTGCTTAAAACCTTCGATAAAACAATAAAGTTTTATTATAAATAATTTTTCAACAAAAGGTTTTAAATCTGTTTAGCACAGTCTCACTATAAGCAATCCCTATTTTTCAATGACAATAGCTAAATACAAGTAATTTATAAAAAAAAGTGATTTGTAAGTGTTCAGCAAAAACTCTTTAAAGACAAAAAATTAATAAAATCTTTTAGTTTGCCGCTAATAATTTTTATTAATTTATAGTTACTTGCTTGTGAATTACTTTTATATTAATTTTATGCTATAAACTGGTAAACTGTGCTGGTTACAAAAATACTAAGTTATGACTATTCCATTCAGGAAAAGAAATATTTTACCGTTTTGCTGATTATTTCTTTCTCGGTGAGTGTTATAATAACCAAAATCAATAAATAAATAAAAATAAATAATGTTTTAATATTTATTACTTTTAAAACTATAACTTTCCGATTCTATAAATGAAAAGCACCGATTCTTATTTTTCATCCTTTATAAATAATCCGTTATGATAAGAATTGTAAAGTTACGTTTCTAAGTTATTTTGAAATACCAAGCACTGACCATTGAAGTGGATTTTGCCTTTATATATAATATACTTTAAAAGTTTTATAAAATCTACACAACTTTATAAATTTTTTCAAAAAGAATCATGTTTCCTAAATTCTAAAAACTTGACTATTGTGCAATAACTTTAATTCACTTTTAATTTCAAAACAAAAAAAAATAAATAATATTAGAAAAATATTTCTTTTAATATAAATTAACTAATAAGTTTGTTAATAAAATACATAACTTTACACGGCTGTGCAGCGAAAAGAAAAAGTTTGTTAAAAAAAACTAAACTCTTTGGCAGGGGAACGGCTAATAGCAAAAAATCCTATAAAAGAAAGAAATCACGAAAGCGTAAGCGCCAATAGTGACGTGTGTATTCTATAGAGGCCTTTTTCTTTTTTTTTTAATCCCTTTAAAGCTTTCTTTTATAATAATATTACGCGTATATATAGTTTTTTTTAATATTTTATTAAAAATGGCCAAAAAACTCTTTTCAAGAGGTTTGGATTTTTTATTTTCTAATAATTTTAAGTTTTTCATAGCTTACACTATAAATCATATTGCTGTTGTTCTACTTTTTTAATTCCTTCAAGTTTTTTTTTTTTTTGATAATATTAACAAGCGAGTATTTAAGATTTGATCATTCTTTTATAATATAAACCATTTACTTTTGGACTATTTTTTTTTCAAACTTATTAGTAATTCACAAATATTTTCAAGGGAGTGATATAAACATTTTTTTCAATATTTTATTTTAAAAATGGTTAATAATTTATATTCGTTTAAATTTTTTTTTTTAAATAAAATTTTTTATCGTTTATCCTTTGAATCATATATATTTAGTTTTATTTTTTTATTTTTATTGCGCATGTATATTAAAGTTTTTTTAATACTTTATTTATATTCAGAAAGGCCAAACACTATTTTTAAAAGATTTAAAATTTTTATTTTTTTTATAAAATTAGAATTTACTCCATCGTTTATTTGGTAAATTATATTGCTTCTAGTCAACCTTTTTTCTTAAATGTTTAATTTTTAAAAATATTTTTTACGCGTATAATAAAAAGTTTTTGTTAAATTTATTTATTAAAAAGACTTCAATACAATTCTCAAGAATTTATAATTTATTTTTTTTCTATAGAAAGTGAAAATTTCTTCCTTCAGCTGTTATTTATTTTAATAATAGTAATAAAAATAATTTTTTCTTCTATTGTAAATTATTCCTATTATTCCTATTTATAGTATATATATATATATATTATTTGTAATTGATTAATTAAATTTTCTTATAATCTTTTTATAACTTTTCTTCATTTTTATCTCTTACAAAAAAAAATTTATAAATTAGAGAAGAAAGTTTTAATTTCTTCTCCAATTGGATTTAAACATAACGTTCATGTTGGTTATAATCCCGAAACTGGTGAGTTTTATGGATTTCCTTCTGAATGGAAAAGTGCTTTGGATAATAGTATTCCCAAAGAAGAGCAGAGAAAAAATCCTGAAGTTTTTTATTTTTTTTAAAAAGTATTTCAATTTATTTAAAGAATTGAATTTTGTTTAGACTGTAATTAAAGTTGTGGATTTTTTTCATAATCCAGAAAGCGGGCCTAAATTTATGGATGTCGCTTCGAGCGAAGGTCGCTTTGTTTTATGAAATAATTCTCTAATAATGAATAATATTGAATTCATAATAAATTTTTAGAACTGTTTTTTAATTTGTTATTTTTAATTTTTACTTAATTTATTTAATTTTTCAGGGAATTGGTTTTAAACATATTCCCTTAATAAATTTAATTTTGTTTTTTCAAAATTTAATTAAAATATAATAGTATATACGAATTATCAGTACTAATTTTTTCTAACATTTATCAATTACTTTTTTTAAATAAGTTTATTTTGTTTTTATTAGAAAAGAATTCCTTTAAGTAAATTTACTGCTTTAGATTATTTTTAAAACTTTTTTATTTATTAAATTATATTTGTATTATTTAATTTATTTTGCATTGGATTTGTAAAAAAATTATTTGATAATTATAAAAAAATTATGGTGTTTATAATTTATTAGTACAAATTCTATTAAATATTTATTAAATTTTAATTATAATTTTTTTTTGTAAAAAAAAAAATAGTTTTTTTATAATATTAATAAATTTACTGCTTTGGATCTTTTTACTACCGATATTTTCAAAAATTTTGAATTTTTTTATTTATTAAATTTATTTTTTTTAAAACGATTTTTTATATTTTTTATTCTTTTTTAATTTTTTATTATTATTTATTTTATTTATTTTTATTTCGTTAAGTAATAATGATCTTTAACATTATTTGTTTAATAAATCTACTTTTTTTTGTAATAACGATTTATTAGAAGTTTTTATCTTTTGTTATTAATTGTTTAAATTTCGTTTTTTTTTACGTGACTAATAATTTTTATTATTATTTGAAATTTTAAAATTTTATTTAATTGATTATTTTTTATAAAATTTTTTAGTTTTTTATTATTATAATCTTTTCCGGTGGCTACTAGTAATTTCTTTAAACTTTTGATTATAAAATTCTGCTTATAATAGAACAAGATGACTATAAAACAGAAACAGAAGCGCCTTTAAAGGTATGAAATTTTTTTCTAGAAATTTTACTCAATTTATTATTTTTAAAAATTTTATGTGTAAAAATTACTTTTGAGAATATATTTCTTTAAAAATTAATTTTATTAAAAAAAAACAGTTTTGTTTTAAGAATGTTAATACTTTTATTAATTTATGTTATTCATAATTAGTTTCAAATTCTGTTTACTTTCCTAAAATTTTTAATTTTTTTGTAATTTTAAATTTAATTTTACAACATTCACTTTTGAGAATTAATTTTTGTAATATAATTTTTTTTATAAAATAGTTATATAGAATTATACTTTTATTAATTAGTAAAAACTCACTTTATATTTTGTTTACATTTTTTTTTTTAAAATTTTTTTAATATTTTAATTATTAAGTTTAAATTTTAAATTTTGTCTACTTTTTTTTTTAATTTATTTTTTTTAATTGTAGTTTTATAGAAAGGATTACTTAAGAAATATTATAGTAAAAATTAGCGTTAATTTTTATGTTAACTTGCTTAATAAATTTATAAAATACTTTTTTTATTTATTATTAAGTTTTGCTTTTTCTTAGAGTATTTAATTTTTTTAATTATAATTTTATAGTTTATTTCGTAAAGTTTACTTTAAAAAATAATTATTACTATAGACAATAGAAATTAATTTTTTTTTTCATAATATTTATTTAATATTTATTTATTATTAATGAAAATCACTTATAAATTTTGTTCACTTCTTTTATAAATTTATGAAAAAAATTTTATCTATAATTTTAAAACATTTATTTGATAAAAATTTTTTTAAGAAACCATTAAAGTATAATTTAGAAATTATTTCTTATAAAACAATTTTAATAATTTTTTTTATTTTTTAATATTTTTATTAATTAAATTAAAGCACTTTTAAATTTTATTTATTTTTTTAAAAATTCTATTTTATTTATTATATCATTGAATTTATAGCATTAAAGTAAAATTAGTAGTTTTAATAAATTTTTAATTTTTTTAGTACTTTATTAGTTATTATTAATTTATAAAAAAATCACTTATTTTTTACTTTTTAAAAAATTTAATTAGTAAAAATTTTCTTTTACATTAAAGTAAAATTAATAGTTTTAATAAATTTATCAATATTTTTTAGTATTTTATTAATTTTATTAATATTAATCACTTTTAACTTTTATTTACTTTTTTCAAAAATTTTATTCTTTTTTATTTAATATTTTATAGAATTTAATAGAAATTTATTTTACATTATAGTAAAAATTAATAAATTGTTATTAATTTTTATTAATATAAATTACTTTTAATTTTTTATACGTTTATTTAAAAGTTTTATTTTTTTATTTATTATTTTAAAGATTTTATTCAATAGAAATTTATTTTACCTTAAAGTTAAAACTTATTTTTTATTTATAAATTTTGTTTACTACTTAAGTTAATTATAAAAAAATCATTTAAAAAAATTTTAAATAAATAAAATTTCTTTTACTTTAAAAGAATAAGTTAATAAATTTTTAATTTTTTTTCCTTTTTTTTTAAATTTAAAATTTAATAACTTTAAAGTTTTGTTTACGTTACTTCAAAAATTATTATTATTTTTTATATTAAAAATATTGTTAAGAGTTGATTAAAGTTAAAATTAGATGTTATTTATATTTTAAATAATATAAATTTTTTTGACAAGTTTATTAATCATTATTATAAATCTTTTAGCTTTTAATTACTATTTATATAATGGTAGATACAAAAGTTATTAAGTCCAGCTTAAATGAATTTTTTTTATCTCTTGGTTATAAAATTTTATTATCACTTTTATAAGTAAATTTTTGATAAACATCGATAAATATTTACTATATAGTTCTCCAATAAAATTTTTAATATTTTTTTTTAGAATCTGATTTATAATAAAATTTTTTTATTTTTAGTTTTGAATTATTTTTTTTATTTTTATATAAATTTATATTTGATTAGAGTTTTATAATTACTAATTATTAAAGTTTTTTTAATAAATTTTTTATTTTATGTTTTTTGTAATTTATTTTCTATTTAAATTTATAATTCATATTTTTCGTTGAATTTTTTTAATTCGGGAAATCACTGCGTTTTTAATTTTTGTTGCGAAATATTTTTTTAATTATTTTTTAAATATTTTATTAACCTAATTTTTTTTTATGTAGAGATCAATTTTTTTCTTTTTCTTCTATTTTTACTACTAAATTTTTTTTTAAAAAAAATTATTTTATTGTTAACAAATTTGAAATTTATTAGATTTTTAAAATTTTTTTATTTTTTAATTTGTTAAAAGTAAATATAATTTTCAGGCATTTTTAGTATAGAAAAGTAATAATATAGTTAAAAATAGTATAAATTTATAGAATTTGCATTCAATATTTTTTTATTGTTACATAAAACTTTTTATTAAATAACTTTTTTATTTTATTTTTAATTATTATTACTTTCATTATTTATTATTTTTATTATGAATATTACTGCTTCTATTACTTTCTCTTTTACTACAAAAAAAATTATTATTAATGTATTGAAAAAAGTTCTAATAAAAACTTTCATTACAACTTTTATTATTACCGTAATTAGTATATTTATTGTGAAATAAAAGTTAATTAAAATTTAAATTCTTTCTTGATAGAAAAACTTTTTATATTGTATTTATTATTCTGCCTTATTTTGTTATAAATTATAAAAGTTTATGATTAAAATGAATACATCATAAAAATTTTTTTTACATCACATTTATTTATTATTATTTATTATATATTTCTTTTTTATTATTAATATTATCATTAATTATTTTTTAAGAACTATATATTATTTATTATTTTTATAAAAGTTTATTAATAAATTGGATAGTTCATTAGACTTTTTTTTTAAATTTAATTATACTAATTATTTATTATATATTACTTTTCATTGTTAATATTATTTATATATATTAATTTATTATTATTTATTTATAATTACTATTAGAAAAAAAAAGGACCACCAGAAATCACTGCCCGTCCGTTAAGTACATATACAGCCGCAACGCGTGACCTTTCCGGAATAAGAATTGAAGGTGTTTTTATTATTTATTTTAAGTATTATTATATTTCTAGCTATTATTATTATTTTTTCCAAATATAAATAATTATTATAAATTATATTTATTTATATTATAAAAAATAATAGAAATTTAATTTATTATTATCACTTATAATTATATTGAGAATAATATTTTTATTATTTTATTATTTCTAATTATTATAGTTTATAAATTATAATTATTATATTATGACTGTTATTGTTATTATATTTTTCATAAATAATTATAATATAATATGTATCACTATTATTATTTTTGTTATCAATAAATAATATTCATTATTTCATATTATTTATTTATAATAATTGTTATTATTATAAATATTGTTAATAAATAATATTTATTATTATATTTTATAGTATTATTACAATTTAAATTATTATTAATGTTTATTATTATTATCATTCATACAAATTGTGATTATTAAACTATTTTTATGTAAATGAATATTAACATTTTATTTTTGATGAATAATATTTATTAGTATGTATAATTTTTTTAAAAAAACTTATAATTACTTGTTATTATTATTCTTGGTATTATTATGACTATGTATTATTATTTTTCATAAGAAAATAAAGCAGCCCTCGGCCTTAAAAAACCACCGCCACCCAAAATACCCGCATCTCCTCTGAAAAAAAGAACAAAATCGCTTTCGGATGATGAAGTTCTAGCGCGTTTAAGTAATAATGATAATATTTTTAAATAACTTTAATAATAATAATTTTTTTTATAAAATTCTTAACATATATTTTTTAATAATATTTTATGTATAAATTTATTATTATTATTAAAATATACTTTCGAATAAAGTTATTTTTGAGGAAAGTTTTTCATATTAATAAATTTTTTTGTTATTATAAAAAAAAAAATATTAGTATTATTGAAAAATACTTTTTAAAAATTATTATTATTATTATTATTTAATAAAAAAAATTTATAATTATTAAAAAAACTTTTATAAATTTTATACTTTTTCAACTTCTGTTATTTTTTTTAAAAAAAATATTAATTATTACTATAAATATATAAAATATTTATTATTAATATTATTGAATTTTACTTTCTATAATACCTTTTCATTACAAAAATTATATATTTAGAAACCTTTATTATAATTAATAGCTTTATAAGATTTCATTTATTATCATTGTTTTAAGAGAAATATTATTAAATAAAACTATTTTGGAAGTATTTTTATTATTATTAAAAAAATATATTATTAAATTTTACTTTTAAATTGCTTTATTATTATTAGAAACTATTATACAGAAAATTTTTATGATTATTATTAATATGATTATTAATAATTTGTAATTTTTTTAAAAAAATTTTACTATTATTGAATTAAGTTTATTTATTATTATTAGAAAAACTTTTATATTATTAATAAGAATTTATGGGAAAATTTTATTATTATATTATTATTCTCTTCATGAAATATTGAATAATGATTTTTAAAATGTTTTGATTTATTACATTTTATTAATAACTTTTCGCAACATTATCATTAAAACTATTATTATTTTTCTTATAGTTGTATGAAAATATTTTTTTAAAAAAGTTTTAAAAACATACATTATTTAGTGTTATTAAAAAAATATTTTAAGGTAAACATTGATTATTGCCTTCATTATATTTATTTAAAAGTTTTAATGAAAAAAATTATAAGTAATAATAAAAAAGTGTTATTTTTATTTATATATTATTTTAATTATAATAAAGACTTTTATTATCATTTACAACCTTAATGCTCTTGTTATTACATCCAAAAATATTTATTAAAACTTTTTTGAAAAAATTTTTTTTTTTGAATTTTTAATGAAAAATGTTATATATAAAAAAAGTTATAATATTATTTATTATTATTCTTTAAACTTTTATTATATAATCATTTATTAAAATACTTAAAAAATTATGTTTTTTTATTAACTTTTAAAGAGAATTTATTATTATTATTTATAATGAAAAAATCTTTATATTTAAATATTATAGAAAAGTATTAAAAAGAAATTTATTTTATTTGCTGTTAATTTTTCTATAAAAATTTTATTTTATAAGATTTTTAAAATCATCATTCTTACAATCTATTTGTTTTTAAAGTTATTATTTTTATAAAAATTTATTATTATTATTTATATATTGATATTATATTTATAAAAACTTTTTATTATAAAATTTTCAATTTAAAATTCTATAAAAAATTTCATATTTACTTTTTTTAATATTTTTTAAAATTTACGCTAAAAAAATATTTATAATAAAATTTTAAAGAAAAAATTATTATTATTTCTTATAATTATCTATAAAAAAATTTTAAAATTTTATAATAACATGTATTATTACTTTATTATAATTTTAAAATTCTCTATTAAAATTTTTAAAATTAAGAAATAATAAACTTTCTTGTGAAAAGTAGTACAAAAACTTATATATTTTATTAATAATTATAAAAAATTTTATTAAACTTTTTAAGAAAAAATATTTAAATAATATTTTTATTTATTAATTATTTTTAAGAATTCTATATAACTTTTATTTTTTTATAAATCTTACTTTTAAAAAAGAGTTCTTAATTTTTATAAGTTGTTATTTTATTAATTAATTATACAAGTTAATTTTTTACCATTTATTTTTCTTATATAAAAAATTAATATTTATTGTATATAATAAAAATAATGAAAATATGAAAACTGTAAATAATAAAAATAAAAAATATATAATACATAATATAAATTCATATATAATATTTTTTTAATTGTATAGTTTTTATATATAGATAATCAAAAATGATATGAATTCTTTTGCTTTTTTTAAGCCAGTTAAGTTAAAGCTTTTTTGTTCTTCAGGATCATTGGTTAGCGAAAATGATCCGCGTGAGTGTTACGGAAGCTTCGTTAAGATTGGTCAAGGCGCCAGCGGCTCGGTTTTTACGGCAACGGACTTAAGAAATGGCTCGATTGTGCTTAATTTATCATTACTATTACTATCATTATCATTTCTAATATTAATCATTAATTATTTTATTATTGTTATAATAAATTATTTTTACAAACTTTACCTTATAAAAAAGTTTTTAAAATTTATTTATTTTAATATTTTTATTATATATTTAGATATCATTTATTATTTATTATTATTATTATTATTTGTTTTTATTAAAAGTTTTTATTTTTTATTATAAAACATTTTTATTATATATTTATATATTATTTATTTTTTGTACATATTTATAACTCATTTATTATTTATTATTTTTTATTTGTTTTATTTAACAAAATTATTATTATTTCTTTCTTTTTAATAATTCCCTCAGGAAAATATTTTTTTTAGTTTTTTAATATATTTTTGTCCTTTATTATTTTACTTTATTTATTATAAAAATACTTTTTTTTATTATTATTAATATTTATTTTTATAAAAATTGTTATTATAATATATTTAATATTTGTCTTCTTTCATTTTTTTATAATATATTTTATTTACTTTTATTATTCATTATTCTTATTAATCTTTTTTTAAAAAAAATTACTATTTGTATATATTTTATCTAATCATAAAAATGTTATTATAATAAAGTTTTCAAAGATTTATTAATTATTATTTTCACAATTTTTTATCATAAATTTTTATATACTTTTATCATTTCTTATTATTATTTCTTATCTTTAGTGATATTTTATTATAAAAAATTTTAGGAGTTTTTTTGATTTATTAATAATTTTTTCTTAAAAATATATTTTTTTACACTTTATTATTTTTTCATATTAAAAAAAAATTTTTAATAGTTTTTATCATAAATTTATAAGTTTTTGCATATAATAATTTTTTATTAATATTTTTGATATATAGCGCTTTTCTATTGTATATATTATATTTACTTTTATAATAATTATTATTATTTTTTTTAAGGTTGCCATTAAGCAAATGAATCTTCCACAGCAGCCAAAAAAAGAACTTATTGTTGATGAACTCTTGGTTATGCGAGAAAATAGACATCCAAATATCGTTAATTACATCGATTCGTATTTGGTGGATGAGGATTTGTGGGTTATTATTATTATTAATAATATTATTATTTCTAATTAATATTGTTATTAGAAAAAAAAATCATTACATTGTTTATTAATATTATTATTATCATACTTCTTATTGTAAATTATATTCTTTTTCTTAATATTATTCACATTATTGTATTTCTCATTATTATTATATTTATATCTTTTATGAATGTTATTATTTCTATTAAAGTTATTAAGATATTGTTCTCATAATACTATTCATTACTGTCTTTTTTGTTAATATTTTAGTTAGTAATAATATAATTATCATTATTATTAATTTTATTACAGATATTATTATATTATTTGTTATTATTATCTTATACTACAAGTTATATTATATTAATGTTATAGTAATTGTTAATAATTATTAGTTATTATTATTATTAAAATTTTAGCATGAAAGTTATAAGAAAATAATAATTATAAAAAATAACAAAAAATTATATATATAATATATTAATAGTTCGTTTGATTTTAAAGATGATAGACATCAAATATTTATTGTATAAATTTATATAAAAATATTATTTTTGTTATTATTATTTTATATTTATTTATGTTTTCTTATTATTTATAATTATTATTATTTAATTTTCTATTTTTACTATATTTTATATTTATTAATACTTTGACTATATTTATTATTATTTTTACTTATTATTAAGTTTGTAAATATTTTTTAATTTATATATAATTATTAAATTATATTTATTAATATTATATACATTTTTATAATAAAAAATTGTTCTACTTAATATTATATTTCAAATTTATAATAAATTTTAAAAAAAAATTTTTTCTAGTAATAATTATTACATAAAATACTTTTTAAAGAAATTTTTTATATATATTTAATAAATATCTTTTAAGCGATTTTTTAATTATACTTTTACTATATTTTTCCTTATAAATATTTATTTTATTAAAGTAATGTTATTTAAAATAAATATATTTACTTTTTTAATATATTTTTCTATTAATTCTGTTTTAATTTTTTATTATACTTTTATAATTAAAAATTTTATTATCTTAAATAATAAAATTAAATATTTATTATTTATAATTATATATAAAAATTACTAAAAAAAATTTAAGAACTATTAATAATATTTAAAAACTAAATAAATTATTTATTTATATCTAAAACTTGTTAAAGATTTATAAAAAAAAAATAGTTATTATTTTGTTTAAAAATTATTTAATTCATATTTATTAATAATTATTTTGAAAATAATTAAAATTAATAATTTGTTTAATATTTTATTAACTATAATTATGTACAATAATTATTAATAGCAATAATGAAATATAAAAAATGAATATATAATTATATGGATTTTGTTATTTAGTATAAAATGTACGAATAATTATTAATAAAATTTATAATTAATTAATATGTAATAAATACAATATATTAATATTTTATAAATTATTTTGAGTTATATAAATAATTATTATTACTTAAAATAATTATTAATAAATTTTTTTAAATATTATTAATATTAAAAATTAAATTATAAGGATAATTATAAACAAATTTGTAAATATAAAAAAAATTTTAACTAATATAAATAATTATTAATAATGCTTATAAAAAAATATTGAAAAAATTATTTCTATTACAAATTATATGAAGAGTATATAAAAAAATAAAACAATATTTATTATATTTCTATTTTTAAAGATAATTATGATGGATACTAACAATATTAAATACAATTTAATAATATTAACTATATTACAAATTTTATATAAATGTAAATGAAATAATATATATTTTATTATATATAAAATAAAATAATTTACAAATAATACTTGTGAATAAAAATAATTGATTGCATTATTATTTATTTTAGTAATAATAATAGTACCACCTTATAATGGTAGCAACAACACTATTAGTAATAATAATAACAAAGCAATAATACTAGTTATAATAATAATACTTTAAAGGTGGTGATGGAATATTTAGGAGGCGGCTCTTTAACGTCCGTAGTAACAACCAGTGAAATGTCAGAGGCGCAAATTGCTGCCGTTTGCCGAGAGGTAATTTTTTTATTATTATTAAAGGGGTCATTTGAACCCCTTATATATCTTTTCAAGTTTATACTCGGATAGTGGTTTCTAAAATAATCAGAAATGTTCGGGAACATTTCATATAAAAAAGCATATGACTTTAATAATAAGTTTAGGAACATTACAAAAAAGACTACTTGTTTGTATTAAATTAGTTTTTTTGGTCTAAAATAATTACAAGTAAGATCGATAAACATCTTTTATGAGTAGAATTTTCCATTAGTTGGGCGTTGAATTACTTGCATTGCTGTAAAGTACTTACTACTATAACCAATTAATTATATACTTTAGGATTCCGTCAAATAAGATTATTTAAGTTTAGTATGGTTTTAAAAATGACCCATATCTATATATTTGTTTCAAATAAGCTTGTCTTGGTCTACATTAATTAATACTAATGACTATTTTATACTTCTTATTGATAGAATATACTTTATTGTACTAATTTTTTTGGTTGCTTTGATTTAAAAATATTTCTGAAAATGACCTTCTATTGGGTAGAACTATTGCTATTTGTTTCAATATAGCTTGCTTTTGGCTAAAAATTATCCATTCACTATTTTTAATGGGTAGAATTTACTACTTGTTTGTACCAACTTAACTTGCTTTTTTTTAATGATTCTTATTATTACCCATTTAACATTCTAATTGGTTTGATTCCTTCTATTTTGTACGAAATATTACCTACTTTAGCTAATATAACTAATTACGCTTTCTTCAACATTATAATTGGTAGAATCACTTCTAATTTGTATTAAATAAGGTTGCATTGATTTAAATTACTACTAATTAGGACCATTAACACTTAGTGGGTCATTCTTAAATTAATCACATTTTTTTTCTATTTCTGTTCTGTCCATTTCGTGATTTATAATTCTTCAGCACTTGGCTAATTTTTTTCTCTGCTTTTAAAGTTGACCAATTAACTACGTTGTTTTAACAGGCGATTATTACTGACCCTTTGATAACTGTTAAATAGTTATAATAAATCGCTCTATTAACCAGTAATCACTCTTCCTTTTTCGGTTAATTAATAAGTGCACTGATTATGCTTTTATTTAACAAATTTGTGGAGCGCTGTTGCGAAGGATTTTGGACAGTATTTTTTTTATATAATTTATTACTATTATTATTTATGAATTAATAATAATTATATTCACGTTATCTATTGGTTAACTTAATTGCCAACCAATTAAACTTTATTATTACAATTACTTAATAAGGGCCTCACAGCCCTCATCGCGCAAACGCTATTTGATTACTCAATCCCCCATCAGTAGCATTTCTTTAAAATAACACTTATTTTAATGGCTGTATTTTAGCCAATAACGTCATCTATCAACCATCGACTTTTTCGATTTCTGGTTTTTTAATACCTAAATTTTTTGAACTCAGTTTTTTATTTTATAGTGCTTGCAAGCACTAAAATTCTTGCATGCCCAACAAGTCATTCACAGAGACATCAAATCAGACAACGTTTTGTTGGGGATTGATGGAAGCGTGAAATTAAGTTTACTCTTTTTATTAAACTTAATTGGATTATATTTATAAATATATTCATTAAGCGGATTTTGGGTTCTGCGCTCAACTAATCAGCGACGATCAGAAAAGACGTACAATGGTTTTATGTTTGTTATTATTTATGTATACATTATTTTTATTCTTTTTATTATTATTAAACAGGTGGGCACGCCCTATTGGATGGCGCCTGAAGTTGTCACGCGGAAGGCGTATGGCCCAAAAGTCGATGTTTGGAGTTTAGGTTTGTGATTGGCTTAAAAAATATTAAAGTTCATTAAAATTCATTCATTTTTTTATTAGTAAAAAATAGCTGAAAAATTTTTTTTATCAATTTTTTATTATTATAATATGAAAATAATAAGAAGTAAAAAACTTTTTATTCACATCTCTTTTTTTAAATTTTTTTATTTTCTTATAAGTTTATTATATATATTTTTGTATAATTAATTTTTAAAAAAAATTATCAAGTAAAAAATTTTTAGGAAAAGTTTTTTCTTTTTATTATTTAGTACATATATATTATTTACTATTTATTTTTTGTTTTATTATATATATCTCTATAATAAAATAATTATATAAAATAGTAAATAAAATCATAATAATAATAAAAATATTTAAAAAAGTTGACTTTTGATATATAAATATTATAAGTTATATAAATATAGTAATAAGTAAATAATATATTTATTATAATTTTTTTTTATTTTTTATTATTTCTTTAAATAAATTTTATTATTATTTTTATTATTTAATAAAATTATACATTTAATAAAAGAAAATAATAATAAAAATATTTAGAAGAGTTCACTATTTATTATTATTTTTAAGATAATTAAATATTATTATTTGTGTATAAATAAATATTATAAAAGTTATATAAGTTTAATATTAAGTAAAAAATTTTTGTAGGAAAAGATTTTTTGTTTATATATTTTTTATTATTATTTACTTTTATAATAAAGTTTTGTTAATAATTAGTTGCTGGACAACTAAATATTAAAATTTTTTTTATTATTATTTTTTTTTGATTTTTATAAGTAAAAATATAAATAACAAATATAAGGAAACTGAAAGTTTATAAATATTACAATTATGAATATAATAAGTAATAAAACTACCAGTAATAAAGTTATATAAAAACTTTATAATTGATTTACAAAAAAGTATTTTTCAAGAAATTTTTACTAATAATCATTATTTTAAAAAAGTTAGTTACTCTTATATGTAATAATATTATAAGAAAGAAAAGTATATTGAAGTTTACTAAAAAAAAAGTTATTCTTATATTTATAATTATAATAATATTCAAGAGAAATTGCTTAAAAGTTTTGTTCAAGAAAAAAAAAAGTAAACTTTAATAATAATAAAAAGTTTGTGTAAAACTATATAAAAAGTACTAATAGTAATAATTATTATTATAAAAGTTCATTAATTTATAAAAATATAATAACATAATTTTTTTAAGGAAATGCTTAAAAGTAATATGAAAATTTATTTTATTAAAGTTTTACTAAAAAAAGCAAACGTTACAACAATAACAAAAAGTTTATATAAATGTTTTTAATAAAATAAAAATAATAATTATAGGAAAAAGTAACCTTTTCATGTATTTTTTATGAATTTTATTATTTATGGCGAAAATAATAATATAAAAAGTAATCAAACGATTTTTTTTAATATAAATATAATTTTTTTTATTATCGTTATAAAAAAAAGTTTTTAATATATAATACTAATTAAAGAAAATAGAAGAATAACTCTTCATTATAATTATTAATATTTATTATTATTTTTAATAAAATGTTTATTTAAAGAAAGCAGAAAAGTTAATTCTTAAAAATTTTATATTTTCTTAGGCGCTACTAAAAAATAATAATATAAATAGTTTTTAAAATATAAAAGAAAGTTATAAGAAACGTTGTTTATTACGTTCATTATTAATATTTATAACTACTTTGTTTTATTATTATTATTATTTGTTGCAGGCATAATGGCAATCGAAATGCTTGAAGGCGAGCCTCCTTATTTAAACGAGAATCCGCTTCGCGCGCTTTACTTAATAGCAACTATGGGGACGCCAAAGCTGAAGGAGCCAACCAGCGTCTCTCCCCGCTTCAAAGATTTTCTTGAAAAGTCGCTGGACACCAACCACGAGTCTCGTTACACTGCTTCGCAGCTATTGGCTGTATTTATATAATCATTAGTTGATTGGTTTATTTATTGATTATTTTAAAAATACTTTTAATAATTATTATTGTTATTATTTTTTTTTATATTGATTAAGCTATTTATATTCATTTTTTTTAATATATTTATTGTTATAATAATTTTCATTATTTTATATATTTATTATTATAATATTATTAATGTTAATATAAAATTTTATATATATAATTTTTATTTTATATTATTATTAAGTAATAAACTTTTATCATATTTATCTTTAATTAAAAAATTCTTTGGATATTTTTTTTTACTGTTTTATAACTTTACTATTATTATTAATATTTTTATTTACTATTACATTTAAACTATTAACTTTATTTTTATTTATATAATTTATTTTTTATAAATATGATTATATATTTATAGAAAAAGTTTTTTATATGTAAAAAAGTATTAAATGTTTTTTATAAACTAAGAAATATTCCAGTAATATAAATATATTTATAAAACTAGTCTTCTGTATAAAAAAGTATCATACTTTTATTATAAACTAAAAAATATTTAAATACTGTAAATATACATATAAAAGAAGGAGTTTTTCATATATAAAGAAATATACTTTTATTATATTTTCTTTTAACTTTTCTTTAATAAATAATTTTTAATTATCTTTTTACTTTAATATATTTTCTTTTATTTTTTATTTTCAAATTATTATTTTATATTATAAAAAATATGTTCTGAAGACATTTTTATTTAGTTACTTTAAATTTTATTATAATATTTCTTTTTATACAAGTTCTTAACAGTTATTAATTTTTATTTATTTATCTTTCATAATTTTATTATTATTATTTATATTTTTTACTTTTTATTAATATGCCTATTATATTATTAATATTTTTTTTATGTATTATTTGGTTTAGCATCCCTTTTTAAAGGAGGCTTGTCCTCTTATTTCCTTGGTACCATTAATCGAGTATGCCCTCAAGGTGGAAGCAGAATATGCTTAAAAGATTTGGTCTATTTGCTGATTTATAATCTCGAGGCTCGCATTTATTATTATTACTGCCTATAAAGTTCAATTGGCTCGTCTAAATAGTTAATAAAAAGAAATTTTTCTTTTTTTTAATGGATAATAGACTATTTCTGTTTTCTATTTTGTTTGCTTGTTCCTACCAATTTATATTTAAAGCTGATCCTTATTATAAATTTGGTATTTTTAGCTTCTTTATTGCTTCATTAAATATAAAATATACTTCGGTGTTATAAATAATTAAATACACCAAACTAAATTATAGTGATACAATTACAAATTTCCTTAAAAAAGCCTTTTCTGATTGGCTTAACAAACTTTAGAAATTGATTGGTTTGTTAAACAATTTTGACTTTTCTTATATTTGGTTAGCGAAATGTATGTTTTGATTTTATTATAATATTATATCATATCAAATTACATTAAAATAATTTCCTTAAATAAAACTATGTCTATGTCTGAGTAGATTAACGAGCTTTTTTGAAATTGCTTGGTTGTTAACCATTTTTGCTTTTCTTATTATTTGGATATTACATTATAAATGGGTCAAATACGTTAATAGTGCTATTTTCCTAAATAAAGTTATTCCTAATAGGTTTAACAAAATTTCGGAATAATTATTTTGTTAACTAACTCCGCTTTCCTTACAATTTAATTAATATAAAGTATATATTTATTGGTATATTATACTATTATGTATATATAATTACATTAAGGGTACCATTTTGATTTTATTAAAGAAAGGTATGACTATTAAAATTTGGTTGGATAAAGGGCATATAAAGTATCTTTGGTGTACTATATAATAAAATGCATCACATTAAATTAACTTAATAATAATTTTCACTAAGCAGAAGAATCCTCTTGTTTCATAAACAATTATAATTTGTTGAATAATTGAGGTATATTTTGTTTTATTATATAACTAAACAACCAATTAATTAATAACGCAATTAATTCTCCTTACTTATTTGTAGTTGGCTTGACTAACTTTTAGCAAATTTTAAGCTAAAACAGACCAATTAACATATTACTTGCGCTTTTGTACCAAATTATTTGCACCCAATACATTTTAATCGCCTTTTTAAAAGGATTATAGCTGATTGGTTGCTGTGAAAAATCTTAACTCATTGACTAAGTAAAGAAATTTAATACGGTTTGATTGATAATTATAAAACTATTGATTAATCTATTGACTTTTAAAAACCACAAATGATTGGTTGCAACAATTCTATGATTTCTTTGAATGAAAATTTACTACATAAAGTTTTTACAGGGTCTTTAACTTTTAGGAATCAAAAAATTTAAAAATTCAAATTATTAAAAAAAGGAAAAAATAAAACGTTATATGATAATTTATTATTAATATTAAATTATAAATTTAAACTTTCAATCACTGGAATGCCCACCTTCAAACAAGAAAGTTTTAGCAATTTTGTTTCCATTGCTTGCATCTTTTTTTAAAAATTATATTTAAAAAGTAAATTATTATAAACAAAAGATTCCGAAAAAAAAATGACATAAAAAAAATTTACTAAAGCTGCCGCCAATATGCAAAGGTAAGAACCTTTTTAAAATCAGCGTCACTTTCGTGAGTAAATCCAAGCAAGTGGCAGATCCCGTGGCAAAGCTGAATTGATTGAGTGGTAAGAAAGTATACAAAAAATAATAATAAATAATAAATATAGGAAAATATTAAAAAATTTAATGTTTAAATAAATTAGCACGAAAAGGTTTAGTAAAAAATAACAGTAAATTAAATGTAATAATTTTAAAAAAATTTATAAGCTATTAAAGAAAATTATTTAAAATTTAAATATAAAGTAGTACAAAAATAAAATTAAAAATTTTGTATTGTATGATAAAGAAATCTGCAAGAATTAGCAAAAAAAATAGTAAAAGTAAAAAAATAGATAATTTAAATAATTTCAGACGCGAAAAAATTGATATAAATTAATCTTTATAATTAAGCACAAAGAAGAAAAAGAAAAAAGAAAAATACTAATAAAAAAAAAAGTAAAAAAAAAATTGGTTGTATAAAATTTAGTTATTAAAAATAAAATAAAATTTTTTAAAAATTGTAAATTTACAAAAATTAATCAAAACGATGACCAGTGAGGCTAAATAGTGATCGGTAGGGATTCTTTTACTTTTGATCTTCTCCAAAACAAAAGGAAGAGCTTAAATTTTTATAAATATTTTAAACTAGCATAATAATTCAATTATAAAATGGTAAATTTACTGCAGAACTATTAACATAAAATCTAATTTTGGGAATGGTTTATTTTTTTAATAATTAATTAGCTTGACATGCTTGCCTTTTTTAGTAAAATTTACAGTTTAATATAAAATAAATAATTACAAACAGGTAAAAGTTAAAAGATTAAAAAATCATAAGTTTTCTGCAAAAGTAAAATTAATTAAATTAATTTAATATTTTCAAGTATCATTAACTAAAAATTTTCAATAGTAAAGATGTGCTTTCTTTTATGTATTATAGATTCTGTAAGTGAATAATTCATAATATTTGACAGGAATTAAAGACCTATAACAATATCTCCTAAAGGTTCATTAATACTTTCATCTTGAAAAGTTTCAAAATTCTTTAAAAAATTAATAAATGATAATTTAAAGCAGTGCTTCTATAAGAATTATGAAAGTTTGTATTAAACTTGAACTGCTCTTCCGGTAAATTTGTAAGGAAAAGAGAGAATATCAGAAACTTTATCAACACTTCTGTACTTTCTGTTTAAATGTTTCATATAAAAGTTATCACATATCGTGAGTCCAACATCGCAACGCGAAAGCTCTTTGAAATTTCAAGATAATAAAAAAATTTAAAGCAGCTATTATAAAAACTCCATATTTTAGTATATAAACATTATAAAAAAATCTCTAAAGTAAAGTTTAAAATTCATAAATTTAAAAATCTTATGCAAAAATAAAATTTTGCCTGCTACTATTAGCATTTCTTTGCCTAACATACGTATTAATCTCCAATTTACTGGGCTTCGTTTATGTATTATAAACTTTGAGATTTGAATATTTAACGGGCACATCAAATTTTGCTAGCTGAATTTTTTACTTAATAATGTTAAATACATTATATAAATAATTTGTGTATGTAGCAGAGAAATTAATAGTAAAACTTATAACTCGTTTTTTTTTTTTCAATAAAGCCTGCAACTTTCAATGTGGAGCCATGTTCATGGAAACGCATGTAACTATGTTAAAAAAACGCGCTATGAATAAAGCGGAGTTAAAAAATCTTATATCTAAGTCTATTGGATTTTTTTTTTGTACAACACTTTATTAAAGCGTCAAAATCTTATTATAAAGTATACCGTATATACTTTTCTTTTGATTACAACTATATTTTAAGTTCTTATTGTAAAGTGGATCGTAAACATTTTTTTTTTCTTTTGCTAAACAATTTTTTTTAGTGCGGAGGTAAATATTATTGTGTAGCATATATATTTCCCTGTTTAGTTTTTTTTTAAGCGGAAAGTTATGTTATAAAGTTTATTGTATCATATATTTTATTTCGTTTTCTCTATATAAAAAGCAGAGTAAAGAGTCAAATTATAGTGTATCGCATATGTCTTTATTTGTTAAACGCTTAATTTAGAGAGAAGAAGAGTTTTATTATGAAGTATATCGTAAGAATATTAACTTTATATTAAGACAATTCTCATTGTTTACTAGTTGTCAGCACTCTTTGTAAGTACAAGGTAGGAAGAAAGAAGCACAAAAGAATGGAGAAACCAGAAGTAGACACAGAAAATTACCAGAAGTTTTGACTGTATTTATAGTATTTATAATGTTTTTTTTAAAAAAAATTTATTCTTCAATTATTGTACTTTGCAATAAATTAAAAACTTTATTACAACTGTGTTGTTTACTTAATAGACTAATATCTATTGGTATCACGTTTTAATTGAGGAGGAAATTTTTTTAACATGGGAATTGTGCTCAAAATTTATTAATTTGTTGGTTTACAGTCTATTGTAAAGTTAGTTGTAGTTGGTACAGTAATTATAAGTAGTTCGGTTAATTTTTGTTATTTTCATATATTTGTATCTGTTCTTTATTACCTTTCGTAAGCGAACTTCCATTTTTTAGCATGTTACTTACAATCTCCGTTTCGTTGCTCATTCTATTTGCTTTCACCATATATTCTTTTGTTTTTTATGCAGCGATTATAATTTATCTACTCTCTTATAAGTTTCTTACTTTGATCTTTGAATTTTACAAATATTGAATACACACTTTCCTAAGTTCATATTGAGTTCTGTTTAGATTATGCATTGCTAAAGTAGTGCACCTTTTAATTAAATTTAATTGTATTAAACATGCATTTTTTAATCATTTACTTCTCATTGCTTGCCTTTATTAAGCTGATTGAATGCTGGTCTATATGTAAGGCTTACTAAAAATTTTAAAACACATTCTTTAAAGCATATTAGACAAAAATATCTAAGTACTGGGAGATAAATTTCAGGTTATATTTTTTATGTTTATTTTTAAGAACCAATTATAAGTTGTTAAAATATATTTTTATTTTAGCAAAGCTTTTTAAGAAGTTATACTGTTTTATAAGCTCGTTGTAATTTTAAAACAAATTTTTCTTTTTTTTAAAAGCTGTACTCTTATTTTTTTATGCAATTCACATTACCTCCTTATTTTTGGCTTAAACACAAGAAGCTTGTCCAATGTGGCTCAACAGTTACCAGCTAAAAAGTAACTGCCTTCCGTATTTAATACTAAAGTTACTTTAACACGTCTAATAGTTTACATTAATAAATTTATTTTAATAGTTCTAAAGCTTCATAAAAGTTGACAGTTGTTTACACACCACTAAACTAATTTTGTGTTTAAAAGGAAGACTCATGTGATGCAGTAATCATTAGTAGATATACATAAACATGATTCCAAGTGGAATGAAGTATAATTTAAAATTTTTTACATAATCCACTAATATAAATACGTCGATATTTACTCCACATCTTTACTGCTAAACACTTTTTTTCCTCTAACTTTAACTAAGAGCAATGGTAAAAAATAAATACACCTTTGAAAGGTTGTAATTTCGTAGTTCCGTACCAGCTCATAAGAAAATCATGAACAAAATAATAAATTAATAAC